GTTTCGATGAAAGGTTATCAGAAGCTTTCTCCAGTGCCCTGGTACGTCTGAACTCTAGAGGGTTTTTCGCTGTGTCTTTTCTCCATTTAGTAATACGCAGACAGATACATGCTTGAACTACTGCTTCATTCGAGTCTAGAAATGTGCTTCAGAATGATCATCAGTCTTCGATCGATTACTTCAACGATGGCTGATGGTAATGTGACCTATTTGAGCACATCGATGAGTCAATTGTGGAGTTCGCCAAGTCAAACGATCTCCCTCCTTATGTTCAAAGTTGATGCTTGCTGTAAATAGTTGGTTATTTGAGCAAAGTTGTAGCAAACAGTCGCCATTTTCAGTTCACTGAGCCGCAACACCATAAGATCCGTCTAAGTGCCTTTTTGTTTGGTTTAGTTCACCTGAGTATTAAAAACACCTATCACTATTACTACATCAGAGCGTCTAGCTTTTTGAAGGGGGTTGAATAGCTTCGTGTAAAATTCATCTGCTTCATCCCAGCTGCAATCTGTGGGAGCATAAGCGGAGACAACGAAGAGGCAACGGTGTATGTTTCTATCCTTTCAACTTCTTACTGTTCTGTTTTGTCGGGCAATATACAAACTACTGTCTATTGAAAGCCAGTCTATGTAAGCCAGTTCTACTTTTGAACTTAGTGATATACCCACACCAGCGAGGCCACGGGACGTAACAGTGGGGTCTGTAGGTACTCAAGGGGTAAGTCGTATGGGTTGTTTATGTTGATAAGGTGGGGTCAAACGAATGACCGTACTTGGATCCTGTATGGGCGCTTGGGAGACGCAGCACGCATCGATGGAGAGAGATTCTAGAGTCTTAGCTGAAGAAGCATGTTGTCCTATCTGACACAAGGTTTAAACAATAAAAGCTCCAACATGTGGTTTAGAGAGTGGTTACAGGAGACCGGAAATAACATTTTGTGAACTTAAATCATTAATATTGATGGCGCGTGGAGATAAGATAAATGGGAAAGGTTATTCGTGAGGATGGGAGAATCATTAAATGGTGAATAAGGGATTCGATGGCGAACAAAAATGATCTCAAGTGCTGTTAGAGGTATGAGAGCCGTTGTCACTTACTGATTGCTCACATTGTGGAAGGATATTTCTTCTTGAGGGACCTGAAAAGGAAGCTGAATTAGTGGTGGTTTTAGCGGTCTGATAGTGTGACTGCAGAGTTCAAGGGTTATCCTCTTGAGTCAGATCACACACGGACTTTTTATGAATAGTTTTTGATGCATTAGTTCCGCACTCTAAAAGGGGGGTTTTTATATCGTAGAAGATGTTGATAAAATAGTGAGTTTTTTTCGAGCTCATATTACGTATCTTCATCACAATCATACCCCTGAGTTACAAAACTTCCCTACCATCTCACTGTCTATGTGTAAATTGGTGACGAAGGCAGAGATGTAGTAATGATTTGTTGTCACTTAGTCAGGTGCCACAATACCACTGTGTCCTGTCGTGAAACCTCCTGACGATATTTCAATGTGGTCGGTACTTATGAACAAAATGATTTAGAAACCTTGAAGGAGCTGGTACTCCATGAAGGGATATTGACTAACTAAATTATTACACCGAATGAATTTTCCATAGTTCCTGTATGATGTTAATTTCAAAAAGATTGTATATGATCACAATCATTTTATAGAAAAGCATATTACTAACTTACTATCATATGGTTTTTTATAAATATATACTATCCTAAATATATAATATCAACTTGCCAGTGAAGTATTCTTTAGATTTATTGTGTATCTTGACGATCGATCTTTTAAAGTATTTATCTTGTATCAAGAAATTTACTTGTATTTACTATTCACTTAATGATAATAAGCATTACTTTATCATCACTATTTTTAAAGAATTACTTAGTGAAATCCACTTTTCTAATCGACTTGAAAATACTTACTATGTTTTTCTTACTTATTTCATGTCCTAATTTCTTGTTTCTCTTCCCGATTTGTTTTACGTTTTCATCTTTGACCTTATTCACATTATTTATCCTTATGTGGTCAGTTCTCTTTCAGTTGATTATCCTCGTGTGTTTATAAAATGTTAGTTTTCTGATATATCATGCTGTGGTATTGGATGGATTGCCTTTTAGCCACCATGCGTTTGTGCATTTATATATATATATATATATATATATATATATATATATATATATATATATATATATATATATATAGTTGAGATCATGAGTCAATTGGAGCTAGACCACCATGGAAAACCTGGAAGCACTGGACGGCCGTTTCGTCCTATTATGGGACTCCTCAGCAGTGCGCATCCACGAACCCACTCTCGCGGGATTCGAACCCAGGACCTACCAGTTTCGAGCCGAAGCCCTTAACCGATAGACCACTGAGCTGGCATCCAACGGTGTTAATGTATATATATAATTAATATCAGTTTAAGACCACTAATTTTTGGTGACCCTTTATTGTATTTGTGCTTTCTTGTTTCATTTATTTAATTATTTATTTATTTAAACACATAAATATTGGTACAAGGAAGCACCAGATATCTATGCGCCTCACAAATCTCATTTGATTTGTGTGAGGGCTGTGATACTGCCCAGGTGCCCAGACTGAAGCAGGTGGTTTTCTTAGGGGGCCACACCCGGAGCCTTTGACCTGAATGTCTGATCCACAAGGCAGTGGAGCATCGTGAGAAGATGCAGTCCCATGGTAGCCGGTGATCAACGATTGATTCGTACGCCATTTGTTCCCTCAGGATCCTGGAGCCCATGTGCACCACTGGTTTGGAATGGTGGTTTTCCAACTCCCCTAGGTGGACCCTCCGTGTCCACCAACCCGGTTAAAGCGCCGGACATTCGCTTTTCGTCCTCTCACTTTCGTAAACAACACCCCCGCCACGAGAATGCAGTGAGTAGGACTTCCCTGGTAGAGGCTATATATTCGCTGGCCATATGAGAACATTTCGAGAGGGAGAGGTGACTCTCCCCACTGTCGGCCGTACCAAGGCATTTGGGGGCATTTAGGAGAATATGTTTAATATTCTCTTTTTCGTTCTCCTTTAAGTTCTTTTTTCATCCTTAACGGAGATGTACGCGTAAAATATAGTTTAATTATAACATAAAGAAATAATATTATAAAAGGAATAATTTCTATCGATCTTATCTGATTGAAAAACTGTCATAAAATATCCCAGTGGTTGTGGCAGTTTTATAAGATTGAAAATTGAACTTAGAAATGCAATCAGTATATGCGTCTCAGTGATTACTGAACAGTTCGGTTTAAAACATCCATGGTACAAAAGTACCTTGATTTCGTATCACTCCATTGTCATCTGTCGACCAGCATTTTTCTTTTCATTTTAACAACCGAAAATTCGTTCATAAAATCCTTCTACGCAACATTATTTCATTCAGAAAGGATAACATTGAATGTAATCGTTTTACCAAATATACGTTAATGTATTGCTCTTGGCTTGAAAGATACAATTTTGTATGTGGTAGATAACGAGTGATTCAGCTAAAGAAACCAGTAGTGCGTGTAGCGCTGTTACAACATCCTACCTTATAGTGATTTTCGTCATCGATTGAAAAACTTCTGAACATCAGTTTTTCTGCTAATTTTTCAACACTTCATAGGTTACACATGATCAAACGTAAATTTTTGTTTCTTGCACAACATACGTGATATGAATTCCAAAGTCAATCCTTTTTTATTAGTAATTGATTTACATATTTTAGTTTACCATACGGTTTTGTATTTCAATAAAAGTACTTAGCTACTATCCAGTGTTTCATGTATGCAGTTAAAATGCTTTTGACATGTCGGGATAGATATTATCACAATATCACCCAATCTGTTTCAATCGTTTATTTGAAATGAATAATTGTGTAGAATTTATGAACGCATCAGTTTTATATTATTACCTATAGTATTTAGTTACAGGAGTGCTCATAGATGCCTGCTGCAAGACATCGTTTCTTCTTTCGAAACTATAGCTGATGATCAAGAATACAGTTGAAACCTATTCCATCTTATTTATATTCTCAAACCAGGTCTTCCGTCTAAGTGTCTGTAAAACTGTTAAAACTGCTAAAGGCTTACTGCAAAATTATAGTTGCTACTTGATATCAAACTACTAACCTAAGTTTTGTAAAACCTGCTAAAACACTGTGAATATTATATAAATATTATTGGAGTCATTGTATATGATTTCGTATTTGATGAAACCTGAAATGGTTTCTTCACAATGCTTATTCATGAATTAGTTATGTATGAATACCAACAATGATATCTTGCAGATGCAAATTGATACTTTGATTGAATTATTGTTTGGTGTAAAATGTGTGGCCTAATTTTCTAGCCTTTTTAGCATCTTATGAAGGCAATCTCTTGTTCAAAAAGTTTTAGTGATTGGTTTAGGTCTTAATCGTTTTTTTTCCTAGTCAGATTGTTCACTTTGTATAGATGGAATTGTCACACATGGTGTAGTTGTTTTGTTTATGTAATTCATTGAATCTAAAATGACTCATTTACAGAATTCCCAAAATAATCAGGTCCCCTGTTATTTTTTGTGATTCAATGTTCACCATTGTACACCAAACTTTGTCGATTTCCTCAACAATACTACTTGTCCGTGCAACATTTGCCCTTTCTATGAGACGAGAATCCCCAATATAGAAAGTCCAAAGTTATTGTGATGAAGTCAATTAAGGATGAAAATATGTCACTCTTAATCATTTGAATCGGTGCTCACCGCTTCTTCGAAAGTCAATGCTTATATCGTTTATAAATCCATTCGATAATTAGTTTCAGTAACTATATCAGATTCCCACTTATCGGACATATCACTGCCTTGTCTTTGATATGGTATTAAATGCAAATCAGAAGTATTGTATAGATTGAATCTCATTATTGCAATGATGTAGTTGCCATTTCCTTTTTGATATGATGGATTGAAGTTGCAATGTTTTCTTCTTGCCATTTTTATATGTACCTTTTCTAGGCTTTAGATTTTTATACTCTACCATTGCTTTGTCCAAATCCTCAACTACATGCACCCGATTTACAATATGTCACCCCAGTTGACCCAAAATTAGAGATAACTGAGCGTTTGGAACGTGGATCTTTACCGATAGGTAAGTTTGCCTAATTGACTCTGAACTGTTTTCCTAAGCTAACCAGCAGTTATCAGTCAGCTGTTAGATCTAATTGGTGTAGTAAAAACACAATCCACAGCTTTCACCCTAGCTCTGCGTACCTGAGTTTTGCAACCTAGTGGTACCAGTAGTGATTACAAAATAAGTGTCGCTCGAATCCGTGAGCGTATACCCGATGTATTAGTTACATTACTATCTAATGAACGGTTGACAATTCTTCAAAGCATTCAACTACTCTATCATCAAACCAATATAATTGTAGACACACCAACGTTTTATTGATCAGTATGTGCTTGTTTTTTAGTACCATCACCACATGGGATCGTTGATTGTTCATCCCCGATGGTTATTGATTTAAGGCAATAAGCATTTGATTTTCATTACCCGTTTGTCCTATTGTGTCCATGATATCTTGATTTTACCAGTTTTTTTCTAAAGAGACATTTTAATTTTGATGTTAAAACATACAAGGATTAACTTACCTATCATCTTATATGATTATTTACCAGAAATCTTGGCGTAGTCAACGTCAGTAGCTTCGTATACGTTAAATTCATAGGAAGCCCACATATTTAAACAAGGCATATGATGTTATTGAAATCACAAACCGATGTATGTTAGAAAACAGTCGAACACCTGGAAACACTGATTAACCGTTCCGTTCTGGTTTTGGAATCCTAAGTAGTAGTTTTCATCCAGGATCTCACCACCGGAAATTGACTTCAGGACTTTCGGTCTCACACGCAAACACTATATAATAAGTGATGAACTATTGCATATTGTCATATATTGTAAATGTTTGTTACTTTATTCAAAATTTTGTTACTCTGTTATTCGACATACTTTTCTATTGGAATTTTTAATGTCTGGAATTATATTTGGTTGTTATTTCTTTTTCGTTATAGGTTTAAAGTTAGATGCATTAGCCTGTCATGGACAAGATGGTTGTCGTGTTCTGCAGGTTTTAGGTGGCGGGGCTGTAGCTCGTGATCAAGTTCTTGTCACAAATGATTATATTACTAGTTTGAACGGTCTTTCTATGCGTTATTTAGACAATCTGAAAGCATTTGAAATCTTACATTCACTATCGCAAAATTCAGCTGTGATTGAGTAAGTACTTTTTGTCACACTCTATACACTTTCTTAAATCTCTTTCGGTTATACATGTTTCTCTTTGTTTTCTAAGTGAGTTTCCAGACTCACTGTTTTGGAAGCTTAACTTTCAGCTTGGGATTTAAAAATTGACTACTCTCCGTTTAATCATATTTTGTCATCTAGATGTTATTGGCATTAGTAGGGATAATAGTGTAATGTGGTCTACTTATATCCATATAAGTAGTGTATGGTGATGGTCAGTTAAGAATGTACTTTGGCAGAAGATCGATAAGGAAGGAACAGAAATGGAGCTCAATCGGTCCGAAAATGCATGGACAATAAATTCAGAGAAGACGGATTGATATTTGCAGAAGGAACAGTTAAGATTGAGAATCTTTGTTTTTTCGTCGTACATGACGAGCAGTCTTCTTAGTTGACTTCATCAAATGTCGTTTATCACGGTTACCTATTTTCATTTTTCTTAAAGAAATTTTTGTCATGCGTTTACTGTTAATGAAAATACTTTCGTCTTGTGGTTTTCGAGAGATTCATCTTTTCTATTAGTATTTCTCTCGTTGACTTATAGTGTAAAAATGGTAATTCTTGAGAAGAGACAGATGATCGCTAGCAGTGGGATCCAGGATGCACGTTTCATCCGACTTGGGACTCATCGGCTGGATGTACCTGGATCATGGCGTTGGTGTTGATATCATGCACCACCTCTGGTATGTGGGTAAATCCTGCCGGTGAGCCCCAGATGGGACGAAATGCGTGTCCTGGACTCCACAGCTGGCCTTTTGGGGATGCCTTATTTTGAAGTACAAATTAATATCGATTACAATAAAAGCCTGTCACAGTGAATCATTCAGTGAAACTTCATTACATTTGTACTATGATTTGTGGTAATGACACTGATCATTCTAATCATTTTACTGTGGATCTATTGTCGATAAACTTAACCTCTTTGGATTACACTTGATCGACATCAAAAAGCTTTATCTACAGAACTAGTGTTTTTACTGTAGTTAGTGAGGGAGGGAAAAGAAGACGATAGATGTAGTATTATTCATGATGTTGAAGTCGGAGTCGCCAATTATTAACATTATGCACGAACATATCATAGTCACAATCCATGTATGCTTTATTCTCCAAAGTGTGGTCCTTCTGGTACTATTATTATTTCAACTTCTGGGATCCACCTTGTTTTGTATTGAGTGCTTGAGATCGTGTATGTACTCAAATGAATATCCTTTCTTGTGTATTGTAGTGGTCGCTACTTTTTGAAAATCAATCTGCATACCTACTAGCCCACTTTAAAATACTCAACTGTAATGTTTTAATTATTGTCGGGCTTATGGGTTCATTCTGTACGTGATCCACCGATTTTGTGTATTCATGAATCACTTAAACTAAACAGTGTTACCAACTACAAAGTTTGAGTAACTTATCTATCTAAATGTTTGATTTCTTTTTGTTCAGTTAAACAAAGCACACTTCATTGTTGTCTTCTCTACATTATGATAAGAAAACTGAAGTCTAAGTGGTTATTTGATAATTGTTTATTACCTTAAAGTGTAACTTTTACAGTGCAGTTTATAATGACATTTCTGTTATATTGTGTTCTGTTCAGCATAACTTATTTTCGTGCTTCCATTATTGAATCTCATCGAATTAAATGTTTATCTAAAACAATGAATCAAACGCATGAAAATACTCTCCAGAAAAGGTAGGTCCCGTTAGTATTTTTATAACAACAGTACGAATACGTAATACTATACAATGACCTAGTTCTCTGCGCTCGAATTTTCTATGCAGTCTAACTCAGTAGTTACATGAAAAAGGATCTTGATCTGAGTAACAAGTAAATAGACTGAATTAATAATGATATAGAGGAGTAAAAACTATTTACAACAACCACTTTCAATGATCTTTCTTCTGTTGTACAACATAAGTTATCTAGGAACTCCTGATAGGTAAATGGACAACGTCAAGCGTACATCACTAGATTCAGACGGTTTACCCTTGGACTTTTTCGAAGCATGTAGGGAACTGACAGAGTTGTTTGGGTAAGCTTGCGAATTAAAGAGTGTTCCAACATCCTGAAATGAATAGACCGTCGCTCCCCATCTGTAAAATGGTCTTACATTATGTGTACGAAATCTCTAGAGAGGAATACGCCTATTCCTGGTTGACTAATGACTTCCGTCATACTTCGCAGATTGTGAAATACTGAGTAACAAGGAGCAGATCAGTCTTCAATCAGGTTATGAATACATTGACCATATTTCCACTTCCCGTCAAACGTTGAAATACCATCATACTTATTGCAGGCCAACAGTTGTGTTTCTTAATTTCGTTGAACAGAACCGTACTCTGGAATTCTGATAAAGTAGGCTATGAGTGAGCAATTTATTGGCATTTTGAAGGTTCTATGTACAAACACTTAAGGCAGAGTGAGAGCATGCAACCATCCCTCTTTACTGTCCCAACCCAGCGGTGAGGTTAGGCAAGGTTGGCTGATCTTTTCTTCCCTTTCCATATTCTCTATCTATGAGATTATGAAATAGGTGGTGATGTTTATGGTATAGAACTGTGACTTGGAGAAAAACTCTTCGACCTTGGTTATGCACATGATATTCTCATATTATATGATGATACTCAAGATATACAAGCTAACACTTATTCAGTTAGCAATCAGTGTCTGTAAGCTATGGCACGTACTTTGTATCTTCTGAATGCAATGCACTTTTATAAAACTTGTGTCTGAATCCACTCTTTGTGGTGATCCGTTAGAATTAATCGGAAAGTCCGTGTATTTGGATTGTTGTATGAGTCTTGGTGGTGGCGTGACTAGTGATATCGATCTACGTATAACAAACCTAAAGTCACTTATGCCAATAAGTTTAATCTTTGAAGCCACCGTGATTTTAGACTGGCTGCAAAAGTCGACAGTATCATCTTTAATTGTACTCAATTCACAATGTAATTTGGTTCTTGCTCAGTATCTCATTCTTCAGTTGAACGCATCTACAAATCACGTCTTTTGAACTTAGGAGACTTTATCTAGATTCTGGTCCATAGTTTTCATTCAATTAATAACAACTTAGTTGTTTTTTGAAAAAGAATATTTAGTTTTCAGACAGTTACCCGGAATATCAACTGAGGAATATTTGTTGACTGAAAGGTTATTAAATGGCTATTTTTCTTTAATAGAATACAATGTTTTTAGTGATAAATATAGCCACTTTAAAAATTTGTCGCATCTGCGTTTAAAGAATGTTGTATCTGTGTTTTACTTTTTAATTAAATCAGTTCGCTTTACTATGCTATTGTTTTGTTTGTATTACTTTGCATCGTCTTGCTTACAGTTGTCTTCCATATTCGTCCATTGTTCAACCTATAAATTGGTCACCTCCGATTGCAATTGTACTTCATCGTTTGGATGCTAGTCAACCATGGGGTTTAGTTGTATCTGGTGAGTTATAAGGTTATTCTTATGGTTCCTGTCTGTTTATAAATATGAAGTGATTACTGTGGTGAGTGTCTGGTAATCTGGTACATCACAAATTGGTTTGGTCTACTTTCCACATACTCTGGTGAATAATTTTAGGAGATTGGTCGTCAGTTGGTAAGTTTTGGACCTGATGTTTCAACACCTCCCGCTCATATTTGGAAATTTGATAATGGTCATTTCTTGTTAGAAAATACTTTTATGAATTATGATTTGATTATTTGATGGACGGGCTTCAAACAATTAAATTGAATGAATTCTGTGTTAATTAATAGATGGAATGCAATTTTAAAATGTCGTGGGATAACTGCTAGCGAAACCGAATTGTTGATGTAAGCCCACTAAAAAGATGTATTTTTTATCAAACAAAAATGTACATGAATAAGTATCCTCAACGATTGGTGGAAATCAGTTTCGTAGGTTGCTCACTCCCCGGTGTATTAGGATCTGGCCTTTAGGTCGAACTCATACCCATCATATCAGATGTAATAGAGGATGGAACATGAAGCTGCCCAAGCTTGCCTATCTAAGAAAGTCAGCAGGTGTATCCAGAACATTCAGGTTTCACAGCAATCACGTTATTTCAGCTACAACATTTATTCAATGGCAGTGACGGACGCGCTCGAGTTTTTTCCATAACATTTCTCCGAGAATTCATAATTCCATTGAACTTTGAAATCTTGAGTAAAATCAGAAGGGGTTTTGTTGAGATTTCGGTGTTTAATAATAATAATAATAATAATAATAATAATAATAATAATAATAATAATAATAATTATTATTATTATTATTATTATTATTATTATTATTATTATTATTATTATTACTGTACGTGTTTTCATGTAAGGGCGAATGATCACGTACAGTTTCTTTGTAATGCATGCATGTAGACAATGTTAGTGCATGTTATTTGCGTGCTCTGAAATATATAAATAAAAATAATCAGATGTTCTTTAACCACAATTTTTGTTACCTTAGATCGATGTATTTCTTCTTTCTTTAAAAATATTTGTCATTATTCAACTAAACTTTATCCATCTTATCTATTGTTTAATGGTTCCATCCACATATTGTATTTAAAGTTTTACATTTATTATTATCGATATTTTGAATCCATCACCACTATGTAATCACAAAATATTAGCTGTGGATGATAAAAATCTTGGTGTATTATACTGTGAATTTTTGATGTATTAGATTCAAAAACGTTTAAGAATTTGTTTAAATAAGCTGGCTAGCTAAACACATTAAAACTTAGTTTGTTTGGTAAACTTTCTTTGTCTTGAAATTATCATACTATTTATTATCTATTCTAGTTTTATTTTGTAATATAGACTTGATTGCTTCATGTTCTGTATTATAATTCTAAATTGCCTATATTTAATGTTTAACTTTATAAGGTAAATCTCCTTAATGTTTTGAGCCATATTCATCGGCACTAATTGTTAATCCACATTGCATTATGCAGTACATCGATCTTCAGTCAAACTCGCAAATAAAATCATTAGTTTGATAGATTCAAGTCTATTGGAATGCCGTTTTATGGGGTATATCATTTTTTAACAGCTAATTTTCCTCATTATAATCTACTGTTTATGGCAATTGTCATTTCTGGACTTAAATACACTTTTATCTTTTTATTTCTGTACTCAAACGACCTATGTTGTCATTCATTTGACCTGGTAAACCAAGTTATTGATGATTGAAAAAATGAATGTTGAATTTGAGTGTGTTTAGTAGTATGGAATGGAGTGGACAAGATTTATACGCGAACGTAACACTAAGGAGAAATATACAAGAATGCATTAGTTTAGTCTGACACATTTAATAGTACAAAAAAGCGGGACTACTTTGTAAATTCATGAAATATTGAAATAAAGAAAAACTGATTAAAACTGATATAAATTGTGGATGCCAAGTTGTTCAATGTTTATATAAATGGCAGAATGTATCCATACATTTGTGATTAATTACGTTGCTCAGTGTTTCCAAACTACCAATTTTATTCCTGTAATCTTATCCCCATGATATTTAAGCTAGCAGTCACTAATTATTTTGTAAAATAATGACTAACACTAAAATTTACGATGTACTTGTTTCTTTGTTTGATACTTATTGACTGCATATACTTGTATCTTATTATTGATGTATATACCCATTTAAACAAATATGTCATAGTGTAGTGAGTGAAAACTTAGGTGGGGGAAACCAATTTATTGTTTTATGCACATTCTCCCTTCAATTGTCCCTTACGTCACGATTCTTCCAATTTAGTCTTCATTCTGTCTTTCCCTTCCTGTTCTTTTCAATTCAATACCGGCAGCCATCTATCAACACAAGTATCATGCATCAAAATATTATTCACTACCTTTGTCAAAGCGTTGCTCACTGTGCTTTATATTACAATAACGACTCTATTTATTCAAAATATGTTTGTAAACGTGGAAGGTATTTTATTTCCCTATTATTGTTATTTGGGCGAAATAAGTCTCTTTTAGCATATGCGGTATTTTTTTTCACTCATTTCCGAAATTTCCTGAATATGTTGAAAATTTTATTACAGTTTGGGTATCATATAGCAGTCAGTAACCACTTTCACCTCATGCTAAGTTCCCGTTTCACCATAGTCACTTCCAATCACCAAATCGGTTTTCTTTATTTTCTGGTAATAAATATTATACTTACTTAATTCCCTTTTTCGTTACTTGTTGTTTAAAGGTTCTGACATTTGTTTACAATTAAATTGTTCAGCACCAATGAATTTAGAAAATCCAAGCATTGTATCCGAGATATTGCCTAATAGCATAGGAAGAAATTGTAAATTACTTAGTCGTGGTCTGTTAATTTTACAAGTAAGTCAGTGTTCATTGTCGTTGTTGCATGTTGATTTTTTTCCCCATCAATTTATATTCATTAGTGTTATTTCAAATGACCAACTTTATTGCATTCCTGTATCATTGGGATCAAGGAAAGATGTATTTTCTTATATGTCAAGACTATCATCTTTGTTCTTTAAAAATTAGTATTCAAAAACGTTGATAAATTTGATACAATTTAATCTGTGCTCCACACATCGTAAATCATGTTTTTTGTAAGCTCACATTATCCGGGATCATAGAAAGTAATATTTCAGTTTAAACTTGAATTTATAATTTATAATACAAATTATATTAAATATTATACTTACCCTTCGAAGATAGACGAATATCATATCTGCGTTACAATTACTTCAAGTTAATATAAGGTATTTTTTTGCAGTTATGTCGAAGTTCATTTAATTTGTAGAGATTAATTCCTCTCTTTTTGTGCTTACTATAGATTAACAACTCACTAGGGTTTCTACGAATTTCACTATAAATAGTAAATAACAATCCCAACAAAAAGTGTATTAAATACATTGTTTAACAATAGCCTTTGGCTTTGTTGATATTGTTCCACCGTATACTAAAGTTCACTGGCAAGATCTGAGTGTACAGTTTATGTATGCTTTCATTTCGGATAATTTGTTACAAATATATTTTTCTAAGAACAATAGCATGGAGTTAGTCCATGGAGAGATTGATTGATTGATAGGTGGTTATCTATTTTAGGCTGTTATTAGCCTGAGTATCAAACCTCAATATAATTTTAGAACTTAGTAAGTTTTAAACACATGTCCCATTTTAATTCTAAGCGTACGTTGCGAACAGTTGCATAACCATAACAAAATGAATCGTTAAGGTATCTGATCTGAATTTAGAATATATATTCATTTTGTATATCTTGAGGATAAATTGTGTATATATTTTAAACTCAACCTTAAAGTCCTGTAAATTTAAATCCGATTTGAGCTATCAACTGTAACATACCGGATATTGTTTCAACGATTTGTTTTTTGGTGCAGTGTTTTTGATGTGATCTTTGTTTAAAGAATTGTTAGGTCACCGTCATTTTTTTTTCTCAGGTTAATGTCATTCACGAATAATAAGTCTTCAAATAAAGACAATATCTGCTACTACTCTCACTAATTAGTTGATAAGTTTGTTTATCTCATCATACATACATGTAAACTGATATTAGTAAAAATAAGGATATTTGCTGTGTTTAACATCATGTGTTTGAGTACAGTAAAGTATTTCGCGAAGGTTTTCAACTAGTTCTGTTGGTATGACGTCTTTTTATCATCCCACATTATAGTGGATGCATAAATTTCATAGTAATTAACTTTTGCTTTACAAAGTGATAGACAATCAGAAAAATATACTGAATACCTTAGTGTTTGCTCTTAAAGTTTTCACTATTTTCGTCCAGTATTCAAACCACTCACGTTGCGATTAAAAGTCGAGTACTATAACTACTGTGTTGGCGTAAAGGGAATGTCAGTAATGAATTGGTCCATAATTTAGATTCTCTGTCGTGTTGTTTAACCTTGTGTTCTATTTTGATGATATTTGAATTGTCTACTACACATTGTGTAATCTTCAATAATACTTATCAACCATGTGACCCGACTAAGTGTTACTCCTTCACTCCTTGATCAAAATATATATGACTATGAGATATGACATACTGTTCATGTCAGAAGGGGTTTTTGTGGAGATTTCATAGTTGAAATCATGAGACGACTGGTTGAAGTTAGACATTAACACCATCGGATGCCGGCTCAGTGGTCTAGTGGTTAAGCGCTCTGGCGCGAGACTGGTAGGTCCTGGGTTCGAATCTCGCGAGGCGTGTTCGTGGATGCGCACTGCTGAGTAGTCCCACAATAGGACGAAACGGCCGTCCAGTGCTACCAGGTTTTCCATGGTGGTCCAGCTTCAATTGACTCATGATTTCAAAGATGATAATACTCTTTTCGTGTCTGAGAGTTCGCATATAACAACTAATCAAAAAACCATGCTTTAGAAAACATTTTGTAAATTAAAATTGTTTTTTTACTAAAAGTAAATAATTGGTATTTTTAAGAATTTAATATATCTCTTATATTTGTTATATCTTATTCAGCTAATGTTTTTTTCGTGGCAAAATATCCGAGTACATGTATACTTATCTTTGAATTTGATCAGGAATACTATAAAACATCAATTTTGTGTTTCTCTGTCTTTTTGATCAACTTTAGATTCAAGGTATCGATGTCTCTACCAAAGGCCCAAATTATGTCAATGCTTATCTGCAGTATCTATCGGATCAGCCTGATCTACATGAAATTCACATAGTTGTATGCCATTTTAATGATGATTGTACTGGTGAGATATTTAATCCAATCAATCAAGTTAATATTACCAACTATACTAATAATGCCAATAATAATAATTCAGATTTTACTGAGAAAATGGAGGTAGGGGATAAATTATTTGTTTATTTTATTTGTTTTTAAAAATCTTGTTGTAAGTTGACTGAAGATCTTTACACATTACATTACACTAATAATTATCATCATGATATTCTATTGTTCTAGATGAAATTATTGGTTCACAGTATATTATTAATAATAGATTCATACGCGATTTTTTCCTTCAAGATCTCGGAGCTTATGTGCATTGTTTGTTTGGAATCAGGGTTTCCTAACTCCCCTAGGTGAATCCTCCATAAACAGCAATCCGGCTAAAGCTCTGGACATTTGCTCTTCGTCTTCTCAATTTCGTAAACAACACCCCGGCCGCAAGAAGGCAGTGAGTAAGACTTTCCTGAAAGTGGCTGTATACGTGTGGCCTTGTGAGAGCATTTCGAGAAGGAGAGCGGACTGTTCTCACACTGTCATCTGACTTTACAACCTCAAGTGGTCTCCGTCAAGATTGTCCACTATCTCCATTTCTGCTTAACTTCATCATAGACCTACTACTGAAAATAGCGTTCTCGTCGACTGAATTTTCAGGAATTGATCTCCTACCAGGAAGTTCACTTATCAACACAGAAGACAGTCGTGTTTGTAGAAGACGCTGACAAAATGCAGTTTTTTGGTAGCATTGAGTAATAATGCAAAGATGTTTGGTATGCGTTTCTACCCATCTAAATGTAAACTGGCCTACGTCAACACCTGAACTAAGGATAGAGAGTGAAGTAGTCGAACATGTGAACAACTTCACTTATCTTGGAAGTCTGATCAGCCCTAATGGGTTGGTGTCTGACGAAATCTCAGCACGGATTCAGAAAGCTCGTTTATCTTTTGCCAACTTATGTCACCTATGGCGAAGACGAGATATCCGTCTATCAATTAAGGGACGAGTATACTGCGCAACAGTTCGCTCTGTTCTATTTTACGGCTGTGAAACGTGGCCATCAAGATTAGAAGATACTCGTAAGCTACTAGTATATGACCTCAGATGCCTTAGAAATATTGTTCACGTGTTCTAAGGGGCGGCCGAACCAAAACGCGGCATAAGTGCTTGGAGTCACTAACTTCTGATCTCAGTCATGTTGGTAGATGCAGACTACTTGGTTGTGGTCTGCGTGACTATCGTAACCAATGGTTGGAGACTCTTTGTGGCATGGCTCAGAATCGATCAAGTGGCGTCGGTGTATACTCTCCCTGACTTCCCTTAAATCGTGAGATTAAAATTTCTTCATATCTTCTTTCTTGCTGTACTATATCTTTATATACAATCTTTCTTTTATATCTTGCCATCATTAAATTAATTACATTGAATTTGGTGTTCATTTTGTTGTGCTTGTAAGGTGTGTCAACTTGGACCGATGTATATATGTGCTTGGTCTTACATTGTAGCTGACTGATAAAGTAACTAAATATTTCTAGTGAATTAACATTTAAATTGGTGCACCTTATGGTTTCTTACCTAAGAATAAAGTTTAAAAAAACCTAATTGAATCAAATGAACGTACTATTCGTCTGTAAAGTTGTTCTCAATTGAATGGGTTTTTTTCTACGGGATCTGCGTCATAATCGTGATGCATGTTTGCAAACGTAATTTAATATTGTCGAAATCGATCACAATTTGATGTTTATATAATTCTATCTATGAGTTAATACGCAACATTTGTGTGGAGTAGTAGATATGCACTCATAAATAATTTCAAATAGTTAAGAGCTCTGTCTTTCGTTGTTTTTTAAGGTCAGTTTGCAATGAAAATCAACTTAAACATATCCAGGACAATACAAGTGGATTGTTGTTAGTTTTTTTCGTTAAACTATTACTTTTTCAGTGGTTTAATGTGTTTTCTTATTTAAAGGAACATAGAAAATTTATGCATAGCTGGTTACTGCAATTCTAATCAATGCATTAATTTGTCTTTTTTTCATCCATCATCCAGTTATCCAACCATTTAAATTTCTTCACACCTATCAATGATCAACAATTACGTGGTCATATAGTCCACTCAGGAACAACTCCGAGTTCCAGTGATATGGAAGATCCTGAACCACTGGTCAGTTTATTTTTGTTCATACTTTTATTTCTTACTTCATTGTTTTGCTTATATTCTTTTTCATTCAAACTGTTAAAGTATGATGTTAATTTAATGAAACACTATTAAGTTTATACCAACTGAATGATTTATGTTTTATTTGATTTGGGTTAATAAGTTTTTTGAATCAGTTTTATTTATGTGTTTTGTAAAATAATTACATATGTCTACACATCTTTACTACTTCATATATTAGTTTGGTGGCGTACTATTTCAATTTAAAATATATTTTGTTACTGAAATTAGGTCAGATACTTTATTTCTACTGTTCTCAACTACTTTTTTGTCACTGAATCTGTATTTTTAGGGGCTTCACATATTCAGAAATAGTTACTACTCACACAGAGAAATTGAGATTAAAGTAGTGAAGTCTCGAATACTTCAAAGTCATCTACCTATAAATTAATCATTCGTTATGGATATATATAAGAATTATAACCTCATATTGTGTTCCAGTTTATTTAAAAGTTCGCGTCAAGACAATATGTAAATTTTTGAACATTTTACTGGGCTTTGTAGAAAACGCTTTGATTTGAGGGCGATATTCATCAGGGATTAATCTAGATTGAGTACCATTAAAGAAAATAAAAACCCAGGTAACTATTTCTTCCTAGTATAGAACTCACTACCACACACCGACAAACCTGCCCTGAGTTTGACCTGGAAAACTTGAAGTCCTTTTGTGTGTCAACGACACACGTTTCCAACTTCCATCAATTCGTAATGAAGCGCAATGACTATCCAAAACTACTATCGACTACTTTTTGATCTCTCATATATCTGAATTCTACGGGTCACGAGTTCTCACTTGAATTTTAGGAACCAATCACGAAGTATTTCACTGATGACTACAATTATACTTTTTTCTGACAGCTTATATGGAAATTAATTTTATTTGAAGGTGTTATTCATCAATCAATTCCTGATAAATAACACCTTAAATCTATATTTGTCTATTCGTCTTTCTTTTATGCCATTGGCTGTTCGAAAAACTGTACCTTGCAATATACCAATCTCAATCATTGCTTGTTCTAATGCACACCAACTAAGCATAGGTTGAACCACATTTGTTCTATCCAAGCAATCAATACAGTTTGAACGAAATGTTCCAGTTTGACGAGTGATAATTGTTGCGGAGTTATTCATATCTATATGTAGTTGCCTAAAAAATGGAAGATATAAAGCTAAATAGTAAACAGTATCCTTTCATCACTATAATTACAAAAACCGATAGCGCTGATCTATACAGTTTTTAAAGTACTCTTGGTCATCAGTCTTTCAGGCAATATGGTTATATAAATTCAACTTTGTATTGTTTGTTTGAATCTTCCCATATGGTTATATAACCTGAGTCTATAACTGAAGATCAAAACTTCAAAATAGTGACATACACAAAATAACATTCGAATTCGTTACATTGGGTTCGATGATACTTACCAATTATCAAGTGTTCCCATTATCATTGTTCTTCTTATTAATTTACCAAGGTTCGATTTACAAAGACGATAAGAAAGGGCTTTATTTCACACGTGATGAGTACATTTTTCTCATACGATTAAATTAAGAAAACTTGGTATTTAGAAAACATTTATTTACTCCACTTTAGGCTACGCCATAAGTTTAGGAGAACTTAAACTAACGTAGGTGAAACAGTCAGTCAACTAAAACGTAGGACCAGTCACATAGATGCATCGGTCCAGATTGCCACACCTTACAAGCACAACAAAATGAACACCAAATTCATTGAAGCAATTCCTTCAATGGATGTAATATATAGAAAATAGTTGCATATAAGGATATGTTACAGGAAGAAAGAATTAGTTCGAAGAAATAAAGACAAAGTAATTTTAATCTCACGATTTAAGGGAAGTTAGGGAAAGTATACACCGACGCCACTGTGATCGATTCTGAGCCCTCATACTCATAACAGCACACGAAACCAAGTTGGTCACATTCAAATCCTTCCTACACCTAATAACTCTCTCATCTCCACGACTAACCCTTCTAACTTCCATTTATCACCTCGCACCGCTAGGACAAATGATTCGAGCACTGGTAACGTTATTCCCGGTCTCCTGAAATCACGCTCTAAACTACATGAAGGAACTTTTAACGTCCGAACATTGTGCCAAATAGGACAACAGGCTTCCTTAGCTAGGACTTTAGAATCTCGCACCATCGATGTCTGCTGCGTCTCCGAAACGCACATACAGGATCCCAGTAGTGTCATTCTTTTCGCCAAAATTAAGAACTAACTCGATTCATGTTTCGTGTATCTGGAGGCCCTGATGCTGCTTCCCGTGGCCTCGCTGGCGTAGGTGTAGCATTGATTCCCAAGGCAGAAATATCTCTTTTAGACCTCCGAAAAGCAAGGCGTTCTGATGTAGTGATAGTGGCAGGTGACTTTAATACTCAAGTAGGTAAGCTAAGTGAAAAGCTGTGGAAACAGCAGTGATATCCGCTAGTAAGGTAAGCCATAAGGTCAGGGAGAAACAATGGATCTCAACAGCATCTACCGCACTAATAGATGCTCGAAAACTCATCCCACCTGGCTCTGAATATAACGAAGAGCGGAGTCAGCTTAAGCGCAGGCTAGTAAGAAGCAAACAACTATTCTGACTTGTTAAAGAAACCGGTATTAGGAACCAAAATATCAGCGAAACTATCTCAGACAAAGATAGACATATCATTCATTCTCAATCCAGGAGATTGGTTCGATGGGCAGAACACTTTAGGAGCCAATTCAACTGGCGTTCAGCAACACTTCAGTTAACCACGATCCCCAGTCGTCCTGAATGGCAAATTGATGTAAGTCATCCAACTCTCTACGAGGTTGAAAAAGCTATAGGAAATCTGAAGCGAGGGAGGGCAGCAGGTCCATCTGAATGGTCTCAATCACTGATTGTGCCAGTCTATAAGGAAGGTAAAAAGTCCTCTTGTGACAATCCAGGTGCTCAAACCGAACCTACTACTTAATGGCTCAAAGTCATATGCCTTAATCCCTGAACCACCGCCTGACTCCGAAATTTTATTATATACAAAATGTAACAGCTTTGAAACTCAACACACCATATCATATTTTTTCACATCAATTATGTCTAAGAAAAGTAGCTGGATTAGCTCTAATTGTTAGTGCTGTTAGTAATCTTGAATTTTACTATTGTTATCATTTCTTCCAATTTCTGTCTTTCTCATCATAGACTGATATGGAGTCTCGTGATGTGGTGGATATTTTATCTCTATCAGTGCCGTCACCAGATCCGAATAATTCTTCCGATTCGCAGCGTAATACCTATAGGAAAATTAATCTATGTCCATTATCTCAACTTTCATCGCCTATTTTAAAAGATGAGGATAACGTTGTCGGTACTGATGTTATGTTTTCATCGTGTGACTATTCCGATAAAAATTCAAAACTACGAAATGGCTGGTCTAGTGGGGGTGTTTGTAATTCTAGTTCTTCATCATTTTGTCAACACCTATTACCTCCTAGACGATTTTCCACGACATCTAAACAACAAGAGGCGATTGGTTATTTAAAACCGACGGTAGTTAATGATTCGAATGTAAATGAATGTAGGTATAGAAATTCATTTTAATCGTTGGTTTTCGAATTTAATTTTTTACCATCTAGTAAAACAGAAATGTATATATATATATATATATCAAATATTTCTCACCAATTCATTAGATAATTATCTTCTTATTCATGCAGTTATGCAGAGTCAGGATCCTCCATGCACACGCACCTTATATTTCATAGACATATATATATCTGACGGGAGCTGGGTTCTCGGTGGCCATTTTTTAACATCCGGTTTAGGATTTTTCGACTGCTAACAATTTCGAGGAAATGTGTGTTTCCAAGTTAGTGAAGTGACCAGTTGTGGAAACTTATCAACTCCCTATTGTATAACCCAATATCACTGAACCATACTTCTAAGGAAACTATCGTGCAACAGATAGCTGCAGCATTCGTCAAAAGTATTTTGATTTTACTCATTTGTTTTATTGTCAGATTTCAAAGCTGATGGGCTGGCATTTTTTACAGATTCCGCATTGACCAATCTGTACTAATTTACAGAGCTAAGATTGCTCGGACAAACAAATAAAAGATTCAAATCACACTGGTATTATGAAACCTAAAAAAAGAATTGCAAAACTTGGTCATTTAAAAAAAATATTAAGTTAACACAATTTCTTATCCAAAATATTGTTAAGCAAAAAAATAAATGTCATCGAGGGATATTTTTAAATGCGTAAACGACTCTATAGTTTTTACAAATTGTTCAACTTCTTCCGATATTTATCTGTTTTAATTTTTTCTACCTCCTGGTTTGCATTGAATTTGTGTTAATTATATCCGAAGGGGTTTTGTGGAGATTTTAGTATTTTTATAGAGTTGAGATCATGAGTCAATTGAAGCTAGACTACCATGGAAAACCTGGAAGCACTGGACGGCCGTTTCGTCCTATTATGGGACTCCTCAGCAGTGCGCGTCCACGAACCCACTCTCGCGGGATTCGAACCCAGGACCTACCAGTTTCGAGCCGAAGCCCTTAACCGATAGACCACTGAGCTGGCATCCAACGGTGTTAATTTCTAACTTCAACTGATTCACGAAATTGAGCAACCATTCACCAATGTCATCAGTGAGTTCCTATCTCACAACAGACCTGGTTGAACTCCACCGGTTACTGCTTCTCACTAGAACTCCAGGAAATACCTCAAGGAGTCAGTCACTAGTGAGCACCTGATTATTATCAGAAGGGGTTTTGTGGAGATTTTAGTATTTTTATAGAGTTGAGATCATGAGTCAATTGAAGCTAGACTACCATGGAAAACCTGGAAGCACTGGACGGCCGTTTCGTCCTATTATGGGACTCCTCAGTTAGACATTAACACCGTTGGATGCCAGCTCAGTGGTCTATCGGTTAAGGGCTTCGGCTCGAAACTGGTAGGTCCTGGGTTCGAATCCCGCGAGAGTGGGTTCGTGGACGCGCACTGCTGAGGAGTCCCATAATAGGACGAAACGGCCGTCCAGTGCTTCCAGGTTTTCCATGGTAGTCTAGCTTCAATTGACTCATGATCTCAACTCTATATTAATTATATCCGTTGAATATTCGAAGCCGATTCTACAATTAACTGTTTTCTGTAATATTTTTGTTTAGTTGTAACCTCTATCTTAGTTTTTTGTTTTTGAATTCGTTCTATTTTGTTCATTATACAATATATTTTAGTAAACTTCTCTAATCCCGTGAAATTGTACACACGTGATAGTCAAGATGAAGTACTTGTCATTCGTCTACCATTACTAATTAATTCCTCATCAATTTACACCCATAATGTTAACGAAGAAACAGGAAATTTGGGTTTGCGTCTTGTAAGTTGTTCTAATCCCGAGAGTATGGCTACATTTGTTGCAAGCTGTCAAACTGATTCCATATCGTGGCATTCTAGTGGTGGTCTTGAGTATGGAGATGAAATAGTGCAGGTTAGTTATAATGGATAACAAATTATAGACATTCCCATTTTGTCTTCATTGCCACATGACAAAGCTCAAGCTAATTTAGTGGATAGTTTTAGTTATTTTTTTTGCCATATACAAAACGAAACCCTAATTATATATATAACAGTTAAATGTTGACTCTGCGAAATGTGTTGCCGTTAATCGTGCCTGTAATCTTGAATGGACTGGCGCCTTCTGGCAGATTCAATCTCATGTCGTCCAACCTCACAATGAGAGACCTAGCTATTCGACTTCCGACCTATAACTGGAATGTATTCACAACTAATTTATCAGTGAATGGTGACTTATCGTGAATGTGAAGTTTATAGTGCTAATCAATTTCTATAGATTATATTGCAATATAGCCACTAGTCTATGTTATAAGTAATAGAAGCTTTTTCGTATGCAAAAGGCATATTCTCTGTGGTACAATTGCATACATTCCCTATCGCTTGTGTTATTTCAGACAATTCCTTACAATTCGTTTTTTAATTGTGTTTGTTACATTTAAGTTTTCTCTGCAATTTATGTTATTACAACTTTCATCTGCTTCTCATCTCGTTTGGCTGCGGACACGATGATGTTCCTGGGCAGTGATGGGTAGTGAAAGCAGAGATAGCAGTGAACAACTCTTCAGGTTTATCAGGGAAACGGGTGTAAAAAATCTATTAGTGAGACTATCTAGTACCAGTATGGTGTAGGTTACTTATATCCACATGAGTAGTATATAATGATGGTCGGACATTGAATGTATTTCAGTAGATCGATAACGAAGAACGGAAACGAAACGTTCTTGGTATGAAAATGCATGTGCAATAATAATCGGAGACTATGAACTGATATTTTCAGAAGGAACAGTTACGATTGAGACAATTGATTGATGGTTTGCAAATTAACTATTCACTGTATGGTTGTCAGATTGTAGTGAGTTAGTCTCTAATTTTGTGCTCAAATACATTCGATTGTACCCACTCGTGTTCTTGTACTACTTCCTGCCATCCGGCCTGGCAGTTTCCTGACCAACCTAAGAGCAATACGAATATGTTTGGATTGAGGATTGGTGCCTCTATAGTTCTCACACTTACTGAGTCTCCTTTCTTTTGTACCTTGATGAGGTATCCTACTTTTCAGTTTTTCAGCACTCGTTCATCCTCCTAAATTTCTTGAATAGAATGTAGAAGACGTTCGCAGTTACTACCGTGCGATGGTGATTATTTTCTAAGGTACACCATAGTGTCGAAATAGGCCCCAGAAGATTATCCTATCTACACTCTCATATGCGTTCTTATAATTGGTTTAGTATCTCTTTTGTATCATACAGATTTTAAATATCACTTTGTTCTCTCGTTTTCATTGGCTTTATACTGTTCGTTTATATGCATCTATATCCGATGTCTAGGTTGAAGACATCAACGTCTGTGGATTAGATCATTTTTCTACTCAACAGATTATCCATTCAAAAATTAACGAATTAATGTCAAAAAAGTATGCAATCAATAACCCAAGTAATAATTCTTTTATTGATAATGATGACGATGGAAAAGTAGGCGATTCAGGTCAATCAATTATCAAATCTTTCATTACACTAATCATAAGACGAAATCCAAAAAATTTGTCATTAATGTCATTTTCACCGGAGTGCAATGATTCACCGTTAAGTGTAAATAATTTGACTAGTGTAAGTTAATTTCACTGCAATATTTTTTCCCAATTTGCATCAGCTACTGCATTTTGACTGATAGATTTCGAAGAAACATTCTCACTTGTATAAGTTTGTTTGCTTGATATTCTAAAATGTGTTCTTTTTTTGAACTACATTCTCATTGTCTCCCAAACTATTAAAAAAATGCAAATATAAAAGTCTTTATGTTTAATAGATATTCTATGAGCTGAATGTACTGGTTGCTATTGTAATCTGGAGTTCAGTGAATAACTCTGGTGTTAGATACAATATGTACTAGGTTCAGGTTTCAGTAAAAACACTAATATCAATATGTAAGTACAAAAAATTAGTGAGTTTCGAATAGAACAGTATCTGTACCATGGTTTGCACGCCCAATTAGACTGTCGATTTCACTTTAGTTTTTTGTTCAGATTGGAACATCATGACTTCGATTTTTAAGATCAACAAAAAATCGAGTTTGTGCATTAGTTCTCTTCATTCGTTGAATATAATTTTTCATTTAAGCCTCCCAATTTTATTTTCTCATATTCCTTGGGTGTTTCAGTTACTTAATTGAACTCATGAATATATTTATTTTTTAATTGGTTGATAAATTACACTGTTAAAACACATTCCCGTCATTCAGAGTTATTCCAAATATTGGGGAGGGAATCAAGTTTAGTAGTATATTCGACGATATTTTCCGTTATAGACTACCATCAACCCAGAAATTTTAAAGCATTAATCAACTGTTTTGTCCTAATTTGAAACTATCAATAGGCACTCTCAACCACATTTAATTTACGTAATAATTTTCACATCTTGTGATGCATCTGACACATTTAACCTAAGATACTGGGTCTCATTCGGCTGTTCCCAACATCAGTTTAGCATAGTGTTTTTATCTATTGCCAGTGATAGGTAACCGATTCACTCCCAACATGGTTGATTCGGTATGTTTTTCAACATGAAGTGATCCTCTTATTACCCGAATACCAAGGCAAAATATCTGCACCAATTATCGACCTTTTTTCAATTTGCATGCCATATTAATTGATCAACATATTATAATGTGATATCAGATTGCGATACACTTTATCGAATGAATTGAGACTTTTATTATTTATTATTCAGGCAATTGACATTGGTAATTAATTAGGATTTTTTCGTGTTTGTATGTACTAATACCCGTATAACTAATTAATCATGATTCTCAATATAAAACGTTTATTCCAGTAGCTAGTGGAGTCATCATTAGATCCTCTTATTTCATTAAAAGTGTCGTATTGAGGTCTTGACTTAGAAACAAAAGTAGAATTTGTCAAATAGATCAAAAACACTTTTACTTTATGTATTGACATACAAATGTAATAATTTACATAAGGCTTTGATTAAACCTGAATAAACCCAGACCAGAAAGAATAGGTTTTCTAAAAATGAAGAATTGTGTGTTGTGAAAGTGTTATGTATACAAGTACACGTTGTACATCATTCTTACCTGAACTGGAATTCACGTGAATATTGTGAATACATACATTTTTCAACTAATATAATTGATTGGATGAAGCATGAAATTCTCGCTAATTTTCATGAGAAATGTCTCATATTTTAAGTATTTCCATACTTATTGTTTCTAGTCTATTTTAGTACTGTTTGTTTATTTTAAACGTATGTTTTGTGCAGAGTACCTGTTCAAAAGCGTTATCGTCATCAGCACTTAATCAATTACCAACTGGCTCAAAGCCGATCCCACATACATTTCTAAAAGAGATCATGGTTGAATTAAATGAAGATTTTTGGAAATTTCAACTATTCGACATTATCTTGGAGAGAGTAAGTAGGAAGAATAGATTTTTTTTGTGATGAAAAGCATCTACAAATCTTGTTGTTATGTTCATCGAAAACGAAAGAAATATAGTTGTTTTGATAATTATCTCATGTTGTCCCAATAATTTTTTGACCAAGATAGTTTCACACACACTGTTTCGTTTTTATTTGGTTTATTGTAGTGTAGAGATGCTTGCACATTAGAGATATTTCTTAGCAAGACATAATTTATAATATTCCCGTAAAAGATTATGTAGTATAATTTTTGTATCTGATACAACTCATGAAGTTTTAATATTTCCGAAGGTTTGTGGTTGATGGCTTTGATCATAAACTGATATCAACTGGTAAAGCATTAAAAATCACTGTGCTCAGATAACCGCCTATTTCTTGCAAATACTAACTTTCAGCATAAGGAAAAACATCTTTTGACATGGCGACCCCCGAATTCGTCCCAACGTTGGACCCAATTAGATCACATCGCTATCAACTAACGATGGAGGGGCTCGATAGAAGACTGTCGATCATTCTGGAGCACATGTTTAGACTCAGATCATGCTCTAGTGCGAGCAAGTATCTGTCTGCGTCTTACTGGACGAAGGAAAGACACTGCAGGGAAGCCTCTAAGGGTTCTACTTAATGATAGGCCAGCTAAGAATATATTTCAGGAACAACTAGAAAGACAGTTAGGCAGTTGTGTCCATCCCGAGGCAGTGTGGAATGACATCCGAAAAGCTGTGGAAAAAGCAGTGATATCCGCTAGTAAGGTAAACCATAAGGTTAAGGAGAAACAATGGATCTCAACAGCATCTACCGCACTGATAGATGCTCGAAAACTCATCCCATCTGGCTCTGAACATAACGAAGAGCGGAGTCAGCTTAATCGCAGGCTAATAAGAAGCCTACGCAATGATCGTGAACAGTGGTGGGTAGCGAAAGCAAGAGAGATGGAAAAGGCAGCGGCAATAGGTAACAGCAGACAGCTATTCAGACTTGTTAAAGAAACCGGCATTAGCAACCCAACTATTAGCGAAACTATCTCAGATAAAGATGGACATATCATTCATTCTCAATCCAGGCGATTGGATGGATGGGCAGAACTCTTCAGGGATCAGTTCAGCTGGCCTCCAGCCACACGTCGGTTTCACACTGTCCCCAGTCGTCCTGAATGGCAACTTGATGGTAGTCCTCCAAATCTCTACGAGGTTGAAAAAGCTATAGGAAATCTAAAGCGAGTGAGACCCGCAGGCCCTGACAGGTTGACCCCTGAGATTTTTAAGGATGGTGGTCCAGTACTAGCAATGAGATTGACTGAGGTCTTAGGTAGAATCTGGGAACTGGACGTAATTCCATCTGACTGGTCCCAATCACTGATTGTGCCAGTCTATAAGAAAGGACAAAAGTCCCCCTGTGACAATCACAGAGGGATCAGTTTGACTAATATAGTGTCTAAGATATTAGCTTCAATAATACTTGGACGCCTAACCAAAGTTCGTGAAGATCAGACTAGAGAAAACCAGGCTTGTTTCCGACCAGGACGTGGTTGAATAGACCAAATATTCACTCTACGTCAGGTCTTAGAACATAGACATACATTCAGATGTCCCACAATAGTATTATTTCTTGACCTTAATGCGGCATTTGACTCCGTTGATCGTGAGGTTCTTTGGCAGTGTTTGTCACTGAAAGGAGTACCAAAGAAGTTCATTAACCTCATAAAGGCTCTCTACTCGAACACAACTAATCGAGTTAGAGCCTATGACGAACTGTCATCGGAATTGGTTACCTCAAGTGGTGTTCGTCAGGGCTGTCCACTCTCCCCATTCTTGTTTCACTTTGTCGTCGACATGCTTTTGGAGATAACACTTTCATCATCGAAATCTTCAGGAGTTGAACTTTTACTGGGAGACCCACTTGTTGACTTAGAATACACCGATGACATAGTTTTATTTGGTGAACACGCTGACAAAATGCAGAGTTTTCTGACCACTATAAGCAACTATGCAGGTATGTTCGGGATGCGATTCTCTCGCTCGAAGTGCAAAATGTTACTTCAGGATTGGGTTGCATCGACACCTGAACTAATGATAGGGAGTGAATTAGTTGAGTGTGTCGACCGCTTCACTTATCTTGGGAGTCTCATCAGCCCTTGCGGTCAGGTATGTGACGAAATCTCAACACGGATACAGAAGGCTCGACTAGCTTTCGCCAACTTGCGTCATTTATGGCGTAAGCGAGATATTCGTCTAGCAACCAAAGGAAGGGTTTACTGTGCAGCAGTTCGTTCCGTTCTACTTTATGGCAGTGAAACATGGCCAATAAGAGTAGAGGATATTCGTAGGCTACTAGTTTTCGATCATAGATGTCTTCGAAGCATTACTCGTATATCCTGGGACTACCGGGTAATTAATGCAGATGTTAGGAAACGGGTACTAGGTAATGATGGCAAATCGATTGATGATGTGGTGAAACTTCATCAGTTGAGATGGCTGAGACATGTGTTACGTATGCCCAACCACCGACTGCCCCGACGTGCAATGTTTTATGGTGTAGGAGTAGGTTGGAAGAAATCTAGGGGCGGCCAGACCAAAATGTGGCACAAATCCATGAAGTCACTGACAAGTGGACTGAGCCATGTTGGTAGGTGTAGACTAGTACCTGGTTGAGATTTGCGAGATGATAGCAATCGATGGTTAAAGACCTTAAATGACATGGCTCAAAATCGTTTGCAATGGCGAAGGTGTATCAACTCTTTGTGTTCTCCCAAATTCTAATCTTCTGAATTATTTGTGTCCTTTTTATCTTTCCAAATTTATTTCATTGTATTATACTCCTCCAATCACATCCTCAAACCCTTATCTTTCACATAATACTTACACTCTCACTACTTCTACCACTATGGGATTTGAATCGACAACTTCATCTCTGTGCTAATGTGGTATGGCAACTCGAATTGATGTACGTACGTACGAAGTTCCACGTTGTAACTGACTGACTGACTGTATGTATTATTAACTGTCTACCCAATGCTCAATTTATTTGAAACTATCAAGTCATACCTTGGCATTGATACTGACTTAATAGTTGAAGGTTGATTATCCTTACCACAGAACCACATCGCTTTTCATTTGAATTAATGTAGTAACAACCACATATGCAATGTTAAGAAAATAGATATAGTAGTAGGTATTTATCTCTTTATTAAACCTATTTTGTTCAGAATAATCCTGTTCATCGTATTCCCATTAAGTGTAATGCATGAATGTACAAATAGGACTAAGTACATATGGTTTAAACGTTGATCTCATTTTCACTGTTGATATTATTTTAATAAATCAACTAGCTCCGTGTGATTGAAGCAAATAGATTCGATGGTCCAAGCGTACAACCTATAGTGGGGCATTTTCAGCACATGGTTGGTTGTGATTTGCAATCTGTTTTCATCATATTTATTCTGGATTCTCGCGAATATTGCTTTATATGATAGTAAATATTGTTATTGACAATGGATTCATTCTGTGTTATATGTTTAGTACAATATTGATAAATCTGACTTAATACTTGAACCGGTTTCCTAAGCTCTTCTTATAATATCAGGCTACATCTACACGACAACTTGTACACAAAAGAAATGCGCGTAATATGGAAAGAACGCTTTACCCCAAGGTTCGTTCATGCACAGAAAACTGGGGGTATTTATAACATTTCACGTGGTTTCGGGCTTCTGGAACCTTACTAAACATATTAGCAGGATATCTAGTCATCCAATTAAAAGTGTGACACGTAACTTCACTTTCTAAATGTTTCTGAGAAACTTCTATACAATGCTGAACGGATAAAATGTTTCCCAACGTTTTTAGGGCCCCTCTGAGCAATTCCGAGGAATATTTTGGATCTCCTAAACAAATGTAGAATTCTCGTTGTGAAAAGTAACACTTTTTCGAGTAACATGCTTAATTATTGTAGAATTAAAAGTCCTCTATACCCTTTAACTGCGTCGATCTTTTCTCTAAAAATCAGTATTGAAACTGTAAGGACGACCCGTCGGTAGACTCTAGGAAGCCTTAAGAAGCCCAGGAAGAGCCGCAGACATTCCATCAAATCACGGCTAGGGGAATGTTCTAGAAATGCCAACGTGGAGCTTCTCCATTGGATGGATTAGTTTGATACCTATGTGCTTATTGGTTGACCTAAATGATAATTTATTTTCAGCCAATAACTATAAATACACGAGTTTTCTGTGCTATATTTTGACACTGTTCGGGGCAATAAACTTCCTGCTTACCAGTCTTTGTCTTCAATCTTCTTGCGACGTTGCGGGTTCTATCGTTCAAGTAGTCAAGTAGTTCGCGGCATATTAAGAATCAAGGCTCTAGATATAACAGAAACAAACCTTGATACTTTCAAAACCCGTCTGGGTCCCAGTTCATTTTTTTTGTTTTCAAATAACTATTCTGTATGCTCCTGCGTCCAGTTCATGAACTTGCACTTAACTACTAAAAAACATCGGTTGTTTATCTATCACTGTTCTACACATATCATAAACAATCAACTTTGCCATCTTATTTTTGTTCTCATTCGGTTGGATTTATCCAACTACAAAATGCGTTTGTTCATTTTCTTTAGATCAAATAGTGTTACATAAAATACGAATGGTACTATGTTATCCAGTATAACTGTAATGACCGAGGTCCTGCTGTTAATAATTGAATCTGGGAACCACTGCAATTTCTCCTACGCTAACTAATGACAATAAAAGTCCTATTGGCTCTCCTAACAAGTCGCTGTTAACATAAAATTCACTCATTTATGTATGGAATTTTATGCATCTTAATGATTAGTTAACAAATATTACGTATGGAAAGTACACAAATGTTACCACAAAAATACTCATCTAAATAAATGTTACTTGAAATAACAAAACTGATACCATGCCAAAAAAATAATACCATGGAAAAAAAAACGTGATCTGGCCTTTCTTACCCCGTGTTATCGAAAATAGACTCGCTAAGCATGACTTAGAAAATGTTATTGTTGTAGTAATGGAGTGATAAAGCTACCACTCACATCATTTGAAGCGAATTAATTTTTTTTTCAATAAAACTATGTGAAGTATTGACCGCGTACATTTTTATAGTGTTTACTAAATGAAAAGGCTTCTTGTTAATGTATTATCCGTATCACGCGAATAGGTTTTTTTCATTTTTTCTGTCCATTATGTTACTTAAAAGTAATAAATATCTTATTACACACCGCTCGCATTCCATTGGTCTGCTTACGCACACTGTACTATTGAAATCGAAGCGAATTGTATTTTTCTCCACATGATCATTGAGAATAATCCAAATAGATTAATCTCAGCACAATATATCTGTGTATTTAAATGTTGAATAGTTGTAGATTATCTCTGGGAGTGTACTCACCGAATTCTGAGTAACCAGATGCGTTAAATGAGTATTCATTCTTTTAAGTCAAGTCCTTTTCAATACTCAACTGTTAATTAATTTCAACTTTATTTTTGTTCATAGGGTTCAGACGGTTTTGGTATTTTCATCGTTAATTTGAGTCCAAACAATGAACCTGGTGTGTTCGTTAGCGAAATCCGTCCAAACAGCCCAGCATCACAAGTAAGTGGATCTCAGATTATGTATTTTGGTGCTTCTGAATTAGATTTTCATTACATTTGTACTAATTACTTCTAAGAAGTAGTGACAGGGGGGCTGGATAACCTCATTGACATCTCTATCAGGAATAACAAAATATGATGACTGTAAAAGTCTACTGTTCTTGGTAGAGTCAAAAACTTACGAGGACACTGGTATTTGTACTTCTAACTACGTCTCAAATAAATGAAACGATATTCCGTATACAGAAACAATGCAGTTGGTGAAATTGTCTAAATCCTTTATAGACGTTCTTTTTACCTAATATGAGGTCAAATTTTGTACAATAGCTATCTATTAGACCGCGGATTTTAAGTCTTTTACATATGCAAGTACAATTTTTTGCACATTATCGTGCCACTACTATCAATACTGACAGTTGACTGTTTTCAATTGTTTATTTATAACATGATGTTTTATGGAAAATGGTAATTATTCATTCATTGGTATGCTTTGATGAATTAGAATTTTAAGACTGTAATTATTCTAGGTTTAACTAGCTATTGGAGTTATACACAAACACAAAACTCTTCCGTTATTTAGCTACGTTTTTTAAAATCTCTAGGAAATGAAAGTGCGAATGATGTTCTGTAGTGTGTTAATCTCACAATAGGACGAAACGGCCATCCAGTGCTTCCAGGTTTTCCTAGGTGGTCTAGCTTCAATTGACTCACGCTTTCAACTATGATAAAGTTAATCTAATTTTTTAAATTTTGTGTAATTAGATGATCATAAACAGCGTTGGAATCTGCAATAAACGTTTATTGGTTCAGCTTGTTACCTTTCTCACTAACATAGAGGGAGAGCAGTTTTTCAATATATGAGCAATAATATATGTGGTAACTAAACTATCCCGATGTGTTCGTCCTGCTAACTAGAGGGAGAAGACCTAGTTCAGATGAAGGAAAGATGTATTCCACAAGCACACAACTCAAGTGTATATAAACAGCATAAAAATGTTCACGGGAAACGTCTCAAAAAGTGTACTGAAAAAGGGAACGAACCGATGACATTTAGGGTCCCTTCCAGTTGGGAATACAATCTGAAGATAAAAGTGGGCGTTTCTGTCGCGAAAACGAGAAATTCAAATTTTCAAAATGAAATTGCAAAATAAGACGTTTGCCAAGTGATTTCTGTGGATCTAGCACCCCCTACAGAACCTCTACTGTCTAGAGACACGGCTTAGTCCAGCACCTTACGTGCTGTTTTCATGTTTTTATCTAATTGCTTATGGGTATGTTTTACTTTTTCAATGTAATGCTTTTAAACGTTTCCTGTATGTCGTTAAATACCTTCTTCATTGATTATTTCTTTTACAGCAAGGAGTTCTTAGACCTCATGATCGTATACTAGCTATTGATGGTCAACTTCAATGTGATTATGAAAGTACACTGGAATTGTTGCAAAAATCAAGAAAATCTGTACGTCTAACCATCGGTAGACAAATACCTTATCACAGTGACTCACGACAAATTCAACAAATTGGACATGTAACTACAACAGTGGATAATCCAGACAATGATATGAAACATAAATTACCCATTATACCTGGGATTCCTGCTACAGTTACTCTGTACAAGACTGACGGAGGTCTTGGATTCTCCATTGTCGGTGGAAGTGATACAGTTTTGGTATGCACTATTTAGTTAAATATAAATGATGGTACATTCAACTTACCATAGTTATAGTCTTTTTTACCAGTACATAAATTTAACCATACTGTTAATAACCATCCTATATTCCCGATGCTAACCGAGTTTCAAAATACATTGTATTTAGAGTAGTCAAACTTCTCATCATAAAATTTAGCCGATAATAAGTTTCATAAAAGACGTCTGGGTTCCATTATCTCTCCATCGTTCATCTCTATTAGAAAAGCTTTCCTCTTTGACTCAGAAGCTGTGTTTATCCCAGAAGTTTCTTATTTTACAAACAAACGCTAATTATTTTAATACATTTTATTCATTCTTAACTTCATTGTCTTAAATAACTTCTTGTTTATTTGTTTATGTTATGCAACAATTACAGGTTCTATTTTCTTCATTTAACACATTCCTCTTTGCCCAAATTTTTCAAATTATTGATCACTCCATAGATTTCCTTCATTTTAGTAACCAATGTACTCAATAATCTATCTGAAATATAAGTTGGTCACCTTTTTCCCAATTTTTGTGGTTGCTCCTAATTCTATCAAGGTAAATGTAAATTTATAAGTTAGAATTTCATTGCTAAATATGGGAGGTATGCAAAGACAATAAATTGAGATTTTCATTCTGGCTAATAAAATATATGGTAAGAGTTTATTCCGGTGGAAGTATAATAAGTATCTCTCGAGATTAGTTAGTTTCATCATTACTACTTATACTAAACTAATGTGTTATCATACAAAACTTAAGTGGCAGTGCAAAAAATGTCAGGTGTTTATTTTTCTTTATATTGCGCTATTTTACGAAAAAAAGGGCCTATTATTAATACGTTTTTAACAGACTAGAATTTTTCTAATAAGTTTATCCACCAATGTTTATAGATGTCAAATCCACTCCACTCCTGTTTCATGCACATAGTTCCCTTTATTTTCTTAAAGAGAGCAAGAATGAAGATTAGTGCAGAACAATATGAATTCATTTTGTTTCGTTAGGTTATCATCAGCTCTTTACAACCTGGAATATTTTAAAATCGAAGTTATTATAGATATTGGCATACTTATAAATACGAGGGTGATTACAGATGAATATATGTGTATCATGATGTAGCGAAGATTTCAATAGAGTTAATAGGGTCATGAAAATTTTGTTTCGGATAATTAAAGTTTAGGAGGGAAAGTTCCAGAACATTGAGATAGTGATTAGAGCCCATGAAGTTAACAAATATTAAATGATTGTGTAATGAAGCAACTGAAAATAGATTAGTAATATGACATCATGTTTGATTATATGAAGAAAATTACACTTTTTCTACTCCTTACTACTACATATTGACTGTGCTACAATTTCACATCATGTGAGATTTAAGCTAAATTTGTAGTTTACATCACTGACTGATTTTACTTAGATGAACATTGAAGCATATAGCTCCTTATGAGTTTTTGCGCACAACTCAGATTAAGATCGAATGCGGGATTACTAGGCCTCGCCGTGAGGATATGAACTGCATACTGAACAATCCTAATAAGCTTCCTATCGAAAGATAGTTTTTTACATACATAATTCATCTAAACATATTAGATTGACTACCAGTGAATCACTGCGCTTTTTTCTGTAACTCCTTTTTATTTGTTTCTTTAAAGAGTAATATTTTGGTCCATGAAGTACACTCTGGTGGAGCTGCTGCACGTGATGGTCGGCTTCAAGTTGGTGACCGTCTATTAGCTGTCAATGGAACTGATCTTCGTGAAGCTACTCAGAAAGATGCTACAAAGGTAGATATCATCTGTGTTTTTTATGTTTTTTTTTGTTCTTATGACTTCTTTTTACCCGTTATTCCCGCTAGGAATTCCACACATTGTCTTCGTAAAATTTAGTCTTCAATTCTTGTTCTGTTCAACTTTTCATCTATATTTACTTCAATTACCAGATTATACGAACAGCTGATGACTGTATCCAATTGGTTGTGTACAGAGATCCTGAACCACAATATATAAATCAAGGTGTATTTGAGTGTCATAGTGTTCACTTGAAACGTGATATGCCCGGACAAAGTTTTGGTCTGTCATTGATTGGTCGACCTCATTATTCAACCGGCACAGCTATTGGCGGCATTGTAAGTATATATATATATATATATATATATATATATATATATATATATATATATATATATATATATATATATTTAAATATCACACTTATTATTCAATTGTTATTATTACCTATGTATTTTTGTCTTTTCCGCATATCTGTCATATGGACGATTATTACCTAAATGTCTGATCCTTAAATTACTTCCATTTTCCTACTTTTCTTTAACCTCAAGATTATCACGCAACCTTTTGATGCTTAAAATCTGTGAGGTCTTTATATTGTGATCTCTTTCTATTCTACTTTAGACTTACATATTGATTAAACCACCATAAATACGATTGTACAAATCATTGAAGAGAACGTTTTCTCTAGATTTCCTTCTGTATTCAGTAGAATAATGGATTTATTCTGTTATTTTTCCGATATTTTCTAAAACAAAATGTTCTTAAAATCTCATAGTACTCAAATAGTTGCGTCTCATAGGGGTTAGTTGGCTTACTGTAGATCAAAGTTGACCATGGTTTTATGGTCGACCTCATTTATCTATGATTGATAGTTTCTTGCAAAATAGTGTTCCTATAATCATCATTAGTTCAAACTTTATTCAATATAAAATAACAATCGTTTGAAGTTAAGAACACATCCTCCCTTTGAATATGCATGGAGTGTAGGACATTTTTTATTACCTTTACTGAAATAATTCCTCACCATTCGATTTTTCACCTACCTTATGTTCATAATGATCCATAGAATATTTCGATTGCTTCAATTCTTTATTTTACAACGTTTAATTTTACTGGTCAACAGAGCGATTTGGGTCATTTTGTGATTCTTTTTGAATTTCATGCCATTTTTCATCGAAATATGACTATGATATTTCACACTTTTTTCTCTTCGATGGTTTGTTTGCTCCTTTTCTGTAAACAGATAGAGAATAGTCCAGCTGCTCGTTCAAATCTTTTAGAAGTTGGTGATATAATTTTAGAAATTAATGGTTGGGATATGCGTTTGGCTAAATCAGATGAAGTAGTCAATTTATTAAAGGTTAGTTAGTGTTGCTTTTTCAGTGAATGTAGGTTCGAGATTGTGGGTTATATAGTTGTAAAACAATATAAATTTAGTTACAAGCATACTACTTATTATAGAAAATGTTTAAATTTCTTGTCATAGATTTAATGTCTGTGGGTGTTTTGACAATGTGTCGATTACTTCAAAAGGCTGAACTTCATTTACTCATAAGTGCTTGTTTGTACGCGGGTGTGTGATAATATGTGGGGGGACTAGTTTTATTTATTTAAACATAAATATTGGTTCAAAGGGGCACCAGATATATATGCGCCACACGAAACAATGAAAATGAGAAGAGAAAGCAGTAAGATGTGTAATAAAAAAAGTAATGGTGAGGGAAACTGAAATGTACAACCAGAAGAACTCTCAATTAAGGAGGTTATAACCACTCTTTATGCAGAAAGTAAAAGAAGGTTACAGCAGGATCGCCATTGGCTTCTATTCTGAGCCGTATTTCCGGTTTTCCCCGACCAGTCCCAGCGTTGGCAAATAATGCACGACGTGGAATTCTCTGGGATTACATTCGTAGAACGTGTCCAAGTCACCGAAGTCGGTGTTTCAAGATGGTGACACCAATTGAATTATCGTCTCTGCGCCCAAGCACACGATGTCGAACCTCTGCATTAATAACATGGTGTTACCACTGGATGTCAGCAATTCTTCGGAGACAACGATGATCGAACACAGAGAGACGTCTAACATCCTCAACTCGGAGAGGCCAGGTTACACTAGCATAGAGCAAAACTGCTCTCACCGACGCGTTGTAGATCCGACCTTTTACAGCCAGGCTAACATCACGAAGGCGCCAAAGATGGCCCAGATTGGCATAAGCCGCTCTGGCTTTCACTATACGTGCATCAATCTCATCACTCAAGCCACCACCAGCACTTATGTAGCTACCTAGATACACGAACTTCTCAACTACTTCAATCTGCTCACCATCTAGGGTGAGTACAGGATGAGAATCCTGTCAGTCTTGTAGGAGTACTTTGCACTTGGAGGGTGCAAAGCACATGCCGTACATGCGGACACTGATTGCCAACTGATTAAGTGCGGATTGCATGGCTTGAGCATTATCGCACAGTAAGACAATATCATCCTCATACTCAAGGTCGAGAAGTCGTTCTCCAGGCAGCAGATCCACACCGTCAGAGTTGTTTCCAGAATGTCGTCGATGGCAAAGTTGAATAGGAATGGTGAGATTGGGCAACCCTGACTAACACAGCTGCTCGAATGAAACAAGGGAGAAAGGTGGTTGTATGCCCTCACTCTGCCTGAGCTGTTCGTATACAGGGCCTTTAAGATGTTAATGAACCACGCCAGCGGTAGCTAATCGCGATGTGATCAATCTCAGTTCAGGCTTGAGATGCAGAGGGAGAGCACCAGGTGGCACATCGGCGATGATTGTGCTGGAAGTTAGTGCTAGCCAGAAACAGGTTGTGGTCTGTGCACAATTGCAGCAAACGGTCCCTGTTATCTGTCCTGCGACCAACAAGTCCCTATCGGCCACCTAAACGACTCTCTTCTGTGCCTAGACGCCCGACCTGTGCTTTCAATTATCCGGCTAGTACTACGATATCTATCGAATGCGCTTTCTGGAGAAGAACAGTTAACTGGTGGTAAAACTCATCCTTGATTGCATCCGGGCTGCAATCTGTCGGGGCATAGGCGGAGATGACAAAAAGACATCGTTTCTCACGCCGATTTCTTCTCACTTTGATGGAGCTTTCTATTCTAACAGCACATAACCGACTGTTAATGGGGATCCAATGGATTAGTGCTGCCTCAGCTCTATCGCTTAGTGCGACACCAACGCCAGCAAGACCAGACGAAGATGCCACAGGGTTCCTATATAAACGTACGTGAAAAAAGCTTTTCGAATCGATAGATGGAGAGCCGATTTGTAGTACTTCACTAGAGTCTTGAATACGGGTCTCGGATAGACAACAAACGTCAATATTAAGACTTTCCAAAGAAATAGCCAGTCCTATCTGTTATTCGATCTGCATCAGTGTGCGAATGTTGAAGGAGGTCAGTTTGAACGGCTTACGTGGTTTCAGAAAAACTGGTTCAGTATTCGTATTTGATATGTCTGGTGGGTTGAACGCTATATTCAGATCCTAAGCTATTCGGATAACCCCAGGCTAGCACTACTCAGCGACTTGAAAGACCAGTAAGAAGACACGAGTAACAGAGAAATCACTTTACTACAAGGTTCGATTATGTACAGAAAAAACAGGGGTTTTATAGTAATTAGAAAGACCTTGAGATTCCATAGTAGCAATATGTTAACAGCCAATCAGGACCTTGTTATTTTAGTAGCATAGCTTCTAACTGATCGCTGATTGGTTGGTCTCTTTATGAGCCTCTCTGGAGGCTCTGATAGAGTTTATTGTATGCCGATCTAACACCTCCCCTTTTTTGAAGAAGCGGGGTAGGTATCCAGACTGCATTTGCTGACTTCAACCTCCCCCACGAAACAATGTTGGGTCCCCAACTTTCGACATAGTGCCGTTGTTGCAGATTGAATTTATGGGACGATCTAATAATTTCAACTTTTCTATCCAATCAAGTCCCAATAAGTCGAGTGCTGGCCGTTCTGTCAAAAATATTACTCCCTTCTTTGTAAGCTCTGCGACTGTGATTTCACAGTGAACCTCACCAGCAATGTTTATAATCCCCCCAGATGCGCCGTGTGCTGTCTGATAGGTTGAAAATATTCTCGGCCTCCCAATTTTCTCCCACGTCCTCCTGCTTATAAGCGTTATATCGGAGGCTGTGTCTAGCTGTAAGCGGGCATCGTACCCGTTAATCTTGAGGGAAACATACTTTCTACGATTATGGGAGCCGATTCTGTTAGCAGCTACCGTCACCTTGGCTGTGCGTGGCTTGAATCTTTTAGAATAAACTTTAGGTTGACGACGTTTTCGGGTTTTGCAATGACTTTCTTTGTGTCCTTTCCTGGAACACGTAGTGCAACGATGACTTTTAAACGGACAAAACCTTTTGAAATGCCAACCTCCGCATAACCAGCATGGGGATGATGGTTTACCGCAATCATTTCGATAATTCTGTATACTGGAACCTTGCTCGACTTTCCTCTCAACAGCATTAACGTGGAGGAACTGGTTAGTGTTTTCTATCATCGAGGTATCGTGCTTCAAATTCACTAACCTTTGACATTCATTAGTCACTTCCTGCAGGGTCATGTTGGGACAATGCTCAAGTTTGCTTAGGATTCTCGTTCGGATGTCAGCATCCTCAGGTGAACGCAGGCTACAGACAAATACTAAGCATTTAAACTGGTCTTCAGACATGGAAGACAAATTGAACCTCTCGCATTCTCGGTTCACAATACCTGCATGTTTCACCCAGTCATCTCCTGATTCTTTCGTTATCTTCAAGCACTGGTAACGGATATTAAATAGAGACGACTGTTCTCCAAAGATTTGAGACAGGGTTTGAATTGTTTCATCAAAACTAAAGTCTCGTGGGTTCTTCGGGAGAATAAAGTTACTATAGCGTTCATGTTCTGTTGTCCCAAGCTTTCTTAGAAGTATTCTGACTTTTGAAGCGTCATCCAGTCTGCAGAGATCAATATGAAACAAATCTTCATACTTCTTAAACCAAGAGTTAAAAGTGACACCTGCTGCACCATCAAAATTAAATTCATGGATTGCGTTAATAACTGAGTCAGTATGAGATACTTGAAATTCACCAGCAGCAGAGTTTTGTTGAGACATACATAATTTCTGCATAAGAGCTTCCATGACTCTGATTTGAGACTGTTCAAACCGTTTTTCTTGACGCTCCATATAAGCTTCAAATTGCTCTAAAGAAATACTCATTGTCATTTTTTTTCTCGTCGCCAGTGATATGTCTTGTAGTTTTTCCCCGTCGCCACTGATATGTCTGGTGGGTTGAACGCTATATTCAGATCCTAAGCTATTCGGATAACCCCAGGCTAGCACTACTCAGCGACTTGAAAGACCAGTAAGAAGACACGAGTAACAGAGAAATCACTTTACTACAAGGTTCGATTATGTACAGAAAAAACAGGGGTTTTATAGTAATTAGAAAGACCTTGAGATTCCATAGTAGCAATATGTTAACAGCCAATCAGGACCTTGTTATTTTAGTAGCATAGCTTCTAACTGATCGCTGATTGGTTGGTCTCTTTATGAGCCTCTCTGGAGGCTCTGATAGAGTTTATTGTATGCCGATCTAACAGTATTCAAAAGAAGCATTCACGTTCGACAGTGACTGGAGATCGTTTAAATGGAACAGAGTTTCGACCGTGAGCGAGCTGCTGCATACGTTGGAAAGTAAGGATACACAAGAATAAGAATTAAAGGGAGTGAGTAAGCGTGGTAAATAATAATAATGTAAATTGTCTGACTTTTAGTGTTAACGAGAAAAGCATCATGAGCAAAATTTTTTATTTCATATGTATGCGTGAGGGCCCGGGTGCCCAAACCGAAGCAGGTGGTCTTCATAGGAGGCCACACCCCGAGCCTTCGACCTAAAAGTCTAACCCACAAGGCAGTGGAGCATCGTGGGGAGGTGCAGTCCCATGGTAGCCGGTGACCAACGGTTGGTTCATACGCCATCTGTTCCTTTACGATGCTGGAGGCCATGTGCACCATTGGTTTGGAATCAAGGTTATTCAACTCCCCTAGATGGAATATCCGTGTATACCGACCCGGCAAAAGTGTCGGACATTCGCTTTTCGTCCTCTCACTTTCGTAAACAACACCCCCGCCACGAGAAGGCAGTGAGTAGGACTTCCCTGGAAGAGGCTATATACGCGTGGCCATGTGAGAGCGTTTCGAGAGAACAGTGGCCCCTCCCCACTCTCGGCCGTACCAGGGCATTAATATTGAAGTTGATTTTGCACTTCATATAGTTAATTTTTAAAAGAATAATTAGCTTTAAATGGGTTAAAAAGACATTACAAAGTTAATGCATTGAACTGTTCTTTCACCAGTTTTTAGTAATATCAAAATTTGGCATCATTAAACACTTACACAATCAATCCAATTAGTATGGTTAGTAAAGTAAATACTTATCCACTTTCTTGATTCCTGTAGCCCCACAACTTTTGGAACCGAAACAAATAAGGAGTGACTTAGAGTTTCTGTTTTGTTTCCAATGGTTGTTTGGTCACAAATGACCTTGATGTCATCGAAACCTCTGTGAAAGAGGTCAGTATTAGTAGTCGTTTGACTGTTTTAGCAGTCATATTAAGACAGTTCATGCAGTTTATCTTGAAAGTTCGGGTTTCTCAACAGCTCAATAATAGATGAACTCATTTATTGAAGACTCTCTTTTTACCTTTTTTTTTTTACAAAATATGAGAGATTTCGAATCAGAGATTGCTGTTCACATACCATTATTATTTTGAATACAATTTCATTCCTGTTCAAAGTGTTCTGATTTTAGGGTCTTGTTGAGTGTGATTGTATAAGAATACTAAGCCATCGGAATAGCTGGGTCGTTTTAGTAGCAAAATACAATTATAACAGTGGCGACGAGAAAAAAGGAAAATTCATTCAAAATGCCTATATCAGATGACCAGCTCAGCCGAATACTACAACAACAGCAAACACAACTTGATGCACAAATGCGGTTGTTGGAGACTCTGATGCAACAGTTTAGCAACCAAAACTCGAGTTCACATGCTGTTTCAAGTACTTCTTGTGATGCAGTTGCTAGCAGCATCCCAGAATTCAAATATGACCCCGAAAGTAGAAATACCTTTCTCACGTGGTTCAAGCGTTGGGAAGAATAGAATTCTGTCAACAAGATGACGCATGGAAGACTCGGTTGTTGATGCGTAAGTTGGGAAGCAATGAGCATGCACATTATGCTGATCATATATTGTCAAAGTTACCTCGAGAGCTCAGTTTCGAGGAGACAGTAACGCAGTTGTCAGAGATATTCGGCGAATCTTCCTCATTGTTTAGTATTCGATATCAGTGTCTGGATTTGGTGAAACAGGAAGCCGATGAATATGGTGCTCTAGCAGACGTCGTTGACAGAAGATCAATTTAAATGCCTTATATTCATTAAAGCTCTGCAGTCACCACAAGATGCTGAAATTAGAACCAGACTTCTAACTCGCCTGGATCAAGACCCTAACGTCACACTCAAGACATTGACAGATGAGTGTAAACGACTACAAAACATCAGACACGACAATCAGTTAATTGAACAGGTAAATTCTAATTTAACCTGCAGTAGTGTAAATGCTATGACTAGGTTAAAAAGTCAGAAGCCGAATAAAACTCATAGCAAACCAACGACTGCATGTTGGTTATGCGGTGATTGGCATTATGTACGGTTCTGTCCATTAAAGAAGCATAAATGTAAGGTGTGCAACAGACGTGGACATAAAGAAGTTTATTGTCCACCGAATCGTACGTCCCAGCTCAAGAAGAAGTATAAACGTCTTTCACGTGTGGTGAAATCAGCTGAGTCTAAATCTCTTTCTCTGGTAGCAGCTTTTCAAACAGACTATGACATTCGGAGAAAGTATGTTACGATCCAGATTAATGATATAACGGCTCGTATTCAAATTGGCACAGCATCCGATATTACTCTAGTGTCTAGAGAGACGTATAACTTGCTGGGAAAACCGCCAATGAAGCCATCCAAGAAAACGGCTAAAAATGCATCTGGAGGCGTACTAAAACTAGTTGGCGAATTACAATGTGAATTTTCCTTCAATGGAGATAACTGTAACAGAACGACCAAACCTTGATCTACTTGGTCTAGATATGTTAGAAAAACTTAGAATAATGGATGTTCCCTTCAACAGCGTTTGTAACGTGTCCTGTCCATCATTAGACACCACCTCATATGCAAAAAAGACAGGTAAAAAGGTTCCAGAAATACGGAGTGTAGCAGCAGCGGCAATTCGAAACACTCCAGTGTCGTCAGATGAAGTCAGAAAAGACTTTTCAGAATTTTGTCAGCAGACCGGAATCAGGCACATCCGAACACCTCCATTCCATCCGCAATCGAATGGTCAGGTAGAACGTTTTGTTGGTACGTTCAAAAATGCTCTAAAAAAATCAAGAGGGAAGGGTACCACCGACGAGATCTTCGAGAGGTTCCTGTTTATCTACCGTTCTACACCGAACCCTCAAACAACAAATGGGGTCTCTCCAGCGGAAGCGTTACTTGGCAGAAAAATAAGGACAGATTTCGTTGTCATCCATCCGACGCCAGCTCGTGAGTCCCAACGAAACTTATCGATGGAGAAGCAGTTCAATCGACACCATGGGGCACAAAGACGATTGTTCACGGTGGGTCAAAAAGTACTTGCTATTGACTATCGTGGTAAACATCCTGCATGGACAGCTGGTCGGATCGTGAGAAAGAAAGGGAATGTGGTTTATGAGGTGTCAGTCGGCTCAGAAGTTTGGATACGTCATATTTTTAGTTAGTGACAATTAATCCACTATAGAATATATATATAACATTAATTTCAATGAGATCAAAATACGAATGATAGTTTATTCACGGATTTGATCTCCAATTAAAATTTTAAATCTTGATAAACATATTGTAGTTATGCCTTTATTTATTTGTCATTACATAAACCAATGATTATGTGTTTAATTTTTTTTCGCATACAGAATGCACATAGCGATGTGAAATTATTGATTGGACGTTACAAAACTGGGCCATCAATGCATGGTATGTTGTTATAAGACATTTGTGTTTTATTTTGTTCATAAATTTGATCTTATTTACTAAACAAACCTCCACCTTTTATACTTGTGTTGGTGGACATAATCGGTAACCAATAAATTATAAAGTTGTTTAAGTATGTTGATTTTATCATAATAGTTAAGACTCAATAATAAAGTTTTTGTGATGAAAATTTATTCATGAAACTTCTTTTTCACTTTGAAATAATAAAAACACCATTTGAAAGACGAATTCACTCATCAACTGGTTGAATATTTAATAATAATGAATTTAAATGATCATTCATAAACAAAATATTCAAATGATGTTGTAGATGATTAATAAGTAATTATGAATGGAAATGAAAACTATGTAATCATTCATTCTTTAAAATTCATTTTATTTTTAAAGTTGGTGATTGAAGGGATTATTATATAAAGGCTAAGAGGTGTAATCTTTACATCTTCAACCAGTTGTATGGTTTTGTTTAAACTCGATTTATCTGGATTGTTGGTTGGTTTTTTAGAACACTTTTATGAATGAATGATCAATATCGTTTTGCTTTATGGTTTTAAATATTTTTGTAATTTTGTTAGTGATGATACAGAAACATGAATTTATGAAGTTCAAAAGTAAAGGAGTGAAATTAATACGACTTATGGTTGTAGAAAGCTTGTAGAGGGTTAATTCCTCTATATCTGACTCAAGTAAATAGTATCCTGTTTAACTGAGTATTTTAATGCAGGTTAAATTTCCTAGTAGAATTATGGGTTTACTCGTGATTATTCAAATGCCTGAAGACCAGTTATAGAGATAGTTTATTGTTAAAGATTGGTAAAATCCACAAGCGTGCAGGAAGCAAGCAAACAAGGAAACGAGTGCGCGAGAGTATGCGTGAGTGTTAAAAATCCATGTATATTTTTGAGTGTCAATTGATTGTGGATAAATTATTGATTTTCTGCGTGTTACAACTAATGGGAGAATAGATTAAGGATTGATGTGCAGACACGCGCTCAATCAAACTCACACATAAATTCACATAGATTAAATGTCTAAATTACAGTAAGCCAATAAATAATACATTAGTTAGATGGGCTCACTAGAAGCCCTACATCGAAAATGTATCTTTACATTATAACTTAAGGATACTTCTTTTCTTCTACAATTGATTATAAAATGCATTACCTGAGGATTACCACACACGCATTAATTTTGAGTTTCTCACTTCAAGACACTGTTAGTTAAACAGTGAATAACTCAATTACCTGACAACACTCTCTAGCCTTTTTTCTAACTTGTGAATTTACCAGTAAACACCAAAGTTCACTACATCTGAATAATTTTTGCTTTTTATTATAATTGTTTACTACTGACAATCAAAAATTGTTTTATCCGCCTTTTCTTTTATTTATTTCTTTTCTTGTACTGCTGTTGTGTTGGTCGTCAATGTCGAAATTATTATTTTTATTGTCTTCGTTATTGTTGTTGTTTGTGATGATAACGATTACGTATTGTATATAATCTTCATATTTATCTTCATTTCGTTATTCCTTTGATTGAACCTTTCTGTTTACTCTTTCTGCACCATATTATCTAATGCATCTGTTTGCATATATTATTCTATGAAATGCATTTTTGTTGTTCTCGTTAATATCATCCAATTCAATATTTCATTTCTCTGTATGTGTTCCTCATTGTCATTCATTATCGCTATATGTAGGCCGTTAGTTTTGATTTATTTGTTTGCCTGCCTATTTATTCAGTCGTCACTCATTTCATTGTATATAATTAGACATTTATAAATATTTGTAAATTATTTGATGTGAAATAATCTTTACAAAAAACAAATAGACATATGCCTCACAGAAGCAAGTGAATGAATAAATGAATGGTTAACATAATAGGAGGAATGGAAATAATGAAAACTGTAAATTTTTTTACAACTGAATCACATGATCTAAATCATAAACAATAGTTATGTAACAAAATGTCCAAATAATGAAATTGACTGTTTTTCTGCGCCGGCGACCATACCACGTTGAAAGCATCGGTTCTTGTCCGATCACCGCAGTTAAGCAACGTCGGGTCCGGTCAATACTTGCATGAGTGACCGGCTGGGAATACCGCGTATCGTCGGCTTTTAAAAACCAATACACACACACACATTCTATTTCCCTGTTTCAGTTTGGGCACCTGGGCAGTATCATAGCCCTCACACAAATCAAATGAGATTTGTGCGGCGCATATCTGGTGCCCCCTTGTACCAATATTAGTGTGTTTAAAAAATGATAATAATAATAACACTCCTTTGTTATTTTATAAATTTATTGTGGACGATTTATTTTAACTTTTCTGATCTCTTATGTAAGCACAAGTATAGTTACAACTTATATAAGAGTTTCAACTGATATGTGATGCAATAATGTACAAGTGTTACTATATGGTTGCACTGGAACCCTTTTTCTTTTGTTATTTTAATCACTTATACTTTAATGTAATTTCTAAACTATATACTGATTCACGTAGACGTATACATGTATCACTAAATAGTTTTGCTGGTGTGTATTTCTGCATTGATGTTTAGACGTTTGTGTTACGGTAGATATGAGCCAGCATGTGTGAATGCGTTTATCACTCGTTTTTAAAATCTCATAATACCGTTGTATTTGCATCCTGTATACGATGATCCCATAACAGAAAATATGAGTTTTTCCATATATCTGCATTTTATCTCATAGCCTATCCTCGAAATCGATTAAATGTCTATGTGGTTGTACTTGAACGTCGTCAATTCGGCTTTTGTAATGATCGTTCTCAGGTGGAAAAACCTTATTCCAATGACACTGATGCTCTTGTTGACTCTGTCTGTCAAAAAACTGAGGAAAATGAATTACGCGATTTAAAATCATCAACTGACTACTATATTACCGTAAAGAACGATCAGAAGATTAGTGGTGATGATGATAGTAACAATGATGAAATCGCTTCAGCTGCATTTGGTTTGCGTATTCGTCAAGCGAATTCACAAGAATTACGGGACTCACACATCCGACTAATCGTGGATAGTATACAACATGATAGTCCAGCAGATCGATTAGGAATGATAATGGTGAGTAGTTTTTGCTTCTCTTTTGTTTTAAGAATGTACATTAGGACTAAGAAGGTTCAAGAAACACTCTGTTTTAAATAATTTTAATGATATGAATCACTTTCTTCAATATCATATATTTGACTATAGTAAATCTTCCACAGAAGTTTGAGCAGGTTGATAATGTCGTTTAATAAGACTGTACAGTTTTATTCATAGTTATTTTTTGAAATATACATTGTTGAACAAACAGATATTGTCTCATTAAGAAACCGTTGGATAATTCCCAGTATTAAACTGTTGTTGTTTAACAGCCTGGCCCTAATAATAGTAATACTTTATAGGCGTTACATTCCTGTTCAACTAACAGTACAAATTCACTTCTGAACTGTCACTGGACTGCGAATTGTTTACATAGTAACAGTAATTACTTTTAGTTTAATAAATACGTAACCGAACTCACTGGCAAAAGTGGGACTTGAAGAAGTGAATATTCTGGACAACTTATTACGACTGAGTTAGCATCACAAGGAAACTCAGCAATATGTTTTTGATGAAGTTTTGTTCTCTGAGCTGGATGGTATGGCTGTGGAGCTCTCATCGTCCTTCTGAACGACATCATCAGCACAAACTTCGGGTAGAAGTGAAGTGTTTGAATTTCTTCACATGTGGTTCACAGCTTGTCCTGTACACCTCGATATTGATTGGTTCTTGTCGACCTTAAATCTGTCATTGTTTATTTCTTTGTTCTGGTTGTATCTCCCATTGGTTTGATTTTTGTTCCTATGTTTCTGCATAATTTTCTTGATTGGTTGATAAATTCGATTGATTTCGATGTTCTTGTTTATTGCTGATTGACCTGAGTGCCAAGCTTCTACATCGGACAAAGCGGACGCCCTCTTCATCTTCGCCTGCATGAACATCAATTAGCCATGACATGTCTTCACTCATATTAATACACGTGGACAGCTGCGGATAGAGGCAATTCCAAAAACACCAGAGAATTTTTAGAAGTTTGGCACTCAGGTCAATCAGCAATAAACAAGAACATCGAAATCAACAGAATTTATCAACCAATCAGGAAAATTATGCAGAAACATAGGAACAAAAATCAAACCAATGGGAGATACAACCAGAACAAAGAAATAAACAATGACAGATTTAAGGTCGACAAGAACCAATCAATATCGAGGTGTACAGGACAAGCTGTGAACCACATGTGAAGAAATTCAAACACTTCACTTCTACCCGAAGTTTGTGCTGATGATGTCGTTCAGAAGGACGATGAGAGCTCCACAGCCATACCATCCAGCTCAGAGAACAAAACTCCATCAAAATTATCCACCTGAGCTACAAATCTTCTCCACCATCTCAGCAATATGTCTCGGTATCATCTAAGACAATATTAAGTTTCTGTTAGTGGAATTTTCCGTTGGATGAATCAAGCAAATAATGTTATTATCAATTAGATTTCTGTTTTGTTTTTATAAATCTTAAGGGCTAATCATTTTAATACTGGGAATTCTAGTTCTACTCATATTGATAGAAATAGTGACATTTTGAGTATGTTAAGGTTAATAATAAAGCAAAGAGATGATGAAAAAAATCTCAATTTTATCGATACTTCGTGACACAAAAATATATTATTCCACATAGTGGAGTTTCCAAATGTTTACTAATCTTTTCTTTTCTTTGTCTAGCCGGGTGATCGCTTATTAAGTATAGATCGTGAACCGGTGGATTGGTTGAACCCAACTCAAGTTGGCCAGCTATTATCTAATCTACTGTATTGTACAATAGAATTCGGTCGTTTACCGTATTTCAACGCACCATTATCTGCTAACAATAATACTATATCAGATAAATGTTTTAAGCATTCTCCACTACCAGTCACTTCATTATGTCCATCTCATCGAACTCAACAAGATGAACATGATATGTTCCCACCTAATCCACCTCCGTCACTAGAACTACCTACATTATTTGATGGCGTTATGCCATGCATTGAAACATCAAGCTTTTTAAGAGATATGTGCACTTTGCCTGAACAACAAGATGAAGATGGTGAACATTGTGTGAATGATAATCATTATCGGTTACGTGAATCTACTTGCTGTATAATTAATTCAAGCAATCAACAAGACCAAATTGATTCAATGTTAAATATGACACCTTTAAATGAAGAAGAAATTAAAAAGGCTTTGGAATTAGCTGAAAGAGGCAGCGGAGGATTTTTTGTACGACAGATTTATTTACCAGTTGCACCAGTTAATATTATCAATAAGACCAATTCTAGTCGTACAGCGAATATTCATTTAGGTTTACGTTTAGTTAGTGGTCCGGGTGTTAGTGGACCAGTTGTTGTTCGTATTGAGCCGAATTCATGTGCTTCTAGAACCAATATTCAGATTGGTGATCGTATTCTGGGTCTAGATGATAAACTGTTACTTTCTTTACGTCAAGATAATCATTCTGCTGATGATATACTATGTACGATTGAAAACGTTTGGATTACACGTTCAATGAATTCTCAGTTCACTTACGAACAAAATCCTTGTTGTTTAACAATTATTAGTTACCATAGTTTACCATTGTTCAGTTCACTTAGTAAACAAGAAAATGATTCCAAAATTGAGGAAGAGAATTCAAATAAAACCCTAGAAAATAATGCACAACTTACTATATCTTTAAAAAATTTACATCTAATCAATGGTAATGCCACTAATTGTCAATGTAGCATTAGTAGTATTGAAATGGGAAGTCCGGAAAATCACATGATGTTATCTAATATTACTACTCCTTCACCATTTGAATCCAAATCACCCAGTAAGTTCTATTTCAGTATTTTATTTTAATAATTTTGCTCGTTAAAATACTTGACTTTTAAATGACGGAGAAAGTTTTTAACTCAGATAAATGCTTTTTATGGCGTTCAATTCTCTAATGTAGATGATTTGATTGACGAGCTTTTATTGGTACTTACCTCATATACAAGTGAGTTATTCCACGAGCTTCAGTTTACTCTGGTAACCCTATGATCAAAACCTTCAGTATACGCATATCTTCATAATCTGTTTCACAGCCATAGAGTAATGAAAAGCCAACTGACCTTAGGTTAGCGTATGGATATCTCTAACGCACGTCGGTACAGACCAACTGAGCCTTCCAAATCTGTACAGAGATTTCGCCAGACGTCAATCCATCAGGGTAAATGAAATATCCAAGGTGAGTGAATTAATCAAGACACTTAGCTAATTTGCTCACTATGTTGATACAAACTCTTACATTACGAAAGAAACTCATCCTGACACGAGCATACATTCGTTGTTGTTCAAAGCGACCAGAAATATCCATTTCGTCTGCGCCTTCACCAAATCATACTATCTATGGTCCATGTGTGGACCTAATAAGCGATCAACCTTGTGAAAATTTGTTGGAGTGCTATTTCTATGAGGTCATTCATTACTAATTTAAATGAAAAAGAGAGTGTTGAGCAACCCTGGTAAACACCTCTTAATGTTACTAATTTTGATTACAACTTACCTTTGACTCAACCAATGATGTTCGAGTAGAGAATCTGCAGATTAATCTACTCTTCACCTTTCATACATTTTGATACACTGATTTTAGTCTTTTTAAGTGTTGTTCTTCTCTTTTTTTATTTGGTGCTGATTTTGCTACTCTTCTACTCTTGTTGATTTCTTCCTACTGTATGATGATCTATGGCGTGTAACATTTTTGACATTTAGACTGTTCTATTTTAGTTTTGTCTGTGTCAGTAATGTTTGCATCCGTAAATTTATGCACATATATCTTTAAGTTTTAGCTACTGCCAAATTATCCGAAAATTGTGCCTTCAGGTATCCAGACAACAATCAAACGGATAAATAATAAGTGGTTATATAATTTCCAGGTCCGAGTCTTTTCGATCAATGTCAATAAGTCTGAAATCTCTATTGATGATTCCCAACTGAAACCTCCCAACCATATTTACATCATTCTATAAGTTGGGTGTCGTTTATTCTCATTTAATGGTATTCACTAGCCGAATAAAAATAAGTTTACTCTGCCGTGAGCCACACCTTTGTGTATTGAAGTTTGTGATGCAATTCGTTTATTGATTACCAAGTAGACGGAGTGAGATTCAAACCTGTAATCCAGTAAAAGGCGAATTTTCACTCCGGTGTAGTGTAATTCATTAACTAAGTGCAAATTCATTTACTGGGCTTTAAGCAGAGATTTTTTAAAATGGGGACTAGCGCTACTTCGTGTCTTTTGAAAGTAGTTTCGATAATACGTAATTGAGACATATAATCCAAGTTGTCGTTTCTTAATTCTTCTGTCTGGTCAAATATATTGAATCTTCATTTTCTGCATCTTATTAATGTATTGTGGGCCAATAGACACATTGGTCAAAAAGCTGTGTACTTTTAATGAATTTGGTCTATTGTAGGTTTGGCACATGTGGGAGTTATATAATAAACTGTGTTTTACTGTATTGATTGTCTCCTACCTTCTGTGTATCATTATTATTATTATTATTAATGGCTTTATTCAATATTATAATCTGGTACAATATAGAATTCTCAGCACGAGAGTATTGATTCAAAATATAGTGGATCATTCATAAAAAAGTGATTTCGTTCTTACTTATTCGGCCCTCATTACCCGCATTTTATCAGCTATGTATTCAATAATGAGTCATACATTATTGTAATTTAAGAGACTGAAAAAATGCAACTTCATTTTTGTGTATCTTATTGATGACACCTACTTTTTAACTACGTCGAAAAATAATAACTAAAATCCACAAATTCACTTAGTATTGTTTGTTTGGATGGCGTTTGAAGCGAGGGTACTGGGTTCGAGTCCCAGAGTGAACATCAACTCTGAGATGCAGGTACATCCAGCTGACGAGTCCCAAATAGGACGAAACGCGCGTCCTGGATTCCACTGCTAGCCACTATCCATCTCTGCTTAAAATCCACAAAGTTTAGTTTGAATAACCACACTTCTCATTAGATGTGTTCAGCTTTAAGTCATGTACAGGAATATGCACTTGGGTTCTTAATAACGCCACATTAAGGATATCTCAATTACAAGTTACTCTTTTTGTTCTTTTATTGATTTGGTATAATCTGCACATATGTTGCTATAGTTTATCACACTTAGAAATTTGACATTTATTACATGAACCTCATCTTTACGTCTAGTTTTTTCAGTTTTATGATTTGTTTTCTGCTTTTTGATGCTTTAATTTTATTCATTCAAAAGTAGTGAGTAAATTCCAACAAAATGGAGAAGTTGGGCATCCTAATTCAGATGGTGAGGTACATCCAAATTCATCAGCATTATATAACCACAGCTATGAATTGTCTCTTGAGCCAACCGATGATGTTATACATCATTTGCCGAATAAAAATCTGTTTGTAGATGATACAATGCACGTGATATGTGAAGATGCTAGTAATACTACCAACAAAAATAATCGAAAACACTCATCATGTGTTGAATCGGTATCATCACTTTCAGCACCGCCACCTAAAGATGATGGCGTTATGTGCAATCGTCCATTGATGAATATAAATCGTAAATTTTCTATTCAGAATAATCAACATACCTATGATAACAATGGGATTATGAATAACAAAGGTTAGTTAGTATTTGAAACTCATATTTTTTTAATGATGGATAATACCGATTAGTAGCAATATGCATGCATGTGCACTAATACAACAATCGAATTGTGAATAAAGAAGTAGTACTAAAAAGTAATGAACACTGGTCATCATTACTATTATTACCACCATAGAAAGGCGATTATACTGTTAATGACGATTGTTCTCGTTTGGTTGGTTCCTAAGGAAACCCTTTAGCATTGACATTATAATTTATTACTCAGAGGGTTCGTCAACTGTGAAAAGAGAGAACGATGTCTACACACATTTATAAGAGCTTATACGGTTATCTTTAATTGAGCAACTGAATGCAGGTTGTCTGGTTCTTCCATGTTGAAATTTTCAATCGATTGCTCAACTACATCTGGTAGGTGAATTCCAATGGATTATTAGCCTGTAGAATAGCAAGCGTATTACTTAGTGATTTTCAAAATATCACATAAATCATAATAACAGCTCTTAAAAGGTCAAATTGTCCATAAAGCTAAATGAACTACACGTTAGTTACTGGTCTACTAAAGAAGACTTATTTTGTAGATACGAGTTCGACTTCGTCCATAAACATTGACCATCATTTGTCAGAATCAGTATATATATCCTTTTCTTACCATTGTTTTACAGCATGCCTTTAGCACCAACAAATATACAATCATATATCCAAACAAACAGGCTCGTATAAACATAGATAGAATGAATACAATGATTTGTATTCGGCTTCTCCCTCCCCTATTTCTTCTTGTAATATTTTATTATGAACACTTGATTTGTTCGTTTCAAATTGTTAATATTGTTGTTAATTAATTTATTTTTCTGATTGAGATTTGTGTCAAGAACAATACTGTTATTATCTCTGTTTTTTTGGATGACATCAGAGTGATACTTGTTTTTCTTGTAATGTGTTTCCTCTATTTTTTCTTAATAAAAAACCGTTAATTATTATTTTCAAGATGAAAAATATTTTCCTTTATCATAAATTACCCTCTACCGAAAAACCACACAGGTAGTTCAGCCAAGTAGTAGTAACTGTTGTTGGTGCAAATGGGACTAGGAATTTCAAAACGATTTATCCTCTCTGTAATTCAATTGCGAAGTGCAAGTGATTCGTCTTTGAAAAATATTAAAATTATCAGTTTCATTCCTTTATTCAACTACACCTTGTTTCTACCATAATTAAAAAGGTGTTGATGTTGCATACTTTCCTTTTTTAGAATGTGAAATCTTTATCTAATTTGATTATTTTTACGAATCGGAAAAGTTATTTCTTACATGTAATCAATATATAATTGTGAATATATGAGTATTTGTGATTCATGTAACTTATTTCGGTACATATAAACAATTAAATAAGCACTGCCATCATATACAGTTATTGTGCAACTTTTCAAATATACAGCCTATTTATGATATATAGTGCCGCCACTTTATTCAACAATGAGCTCACGATTGTATAGTTTGTTCATTTATCAAATTAGTTTGTCATAGGTTGGTCAAGAACTTTTGAAGCAAATGTATTAGGTGTTTTGAACTACCTTGGTACTCCTTAGAAGTATGCACTGGCATTTTACCTGAGACCGGCAGCTGGTACGACACTATCCGCTCATAATATCTTATTTAATTCAATTTATTATACAGCGCAACCTACTGGAGTTACATTTGGATAGTTGCTTCTTATCGAATTCTTTAACATTAGCTTCAAAAGAGCTTCCGGATATTCATTTTAGAGTAAGCAATATTTAACACAAGTCACACTACTTGTTTGAACACTATTGAGAGCCACGATTTTAGTGTTATTCTAAGCATCACAAACACTTCTTCAGGACGCGCGTTCCGTCCTACTTGGATCTCGTCAGTTGGATGTTCTGGATTCCACTACTAGCCACTATCCATCTTTGCTTATAATGCTTGCGAATTAAGACTATATCGAGGCAATACGTACAGTATGCACATATGCCAATAATAGACTGATCAGTTGAAGTCTTAAACATCAATGGGAAGATTCAAACAAACAATACCAAGTGAATTTAGTTCTTCCGGTAGTTATTCTTCCCAAGGATTGCAGACACTTTATATCGCTACACTAAAGAGCTACGGACAATCGAGACCTTTTCTACCAATCTCAGATAAAAGGTCAGGTCAGCTACAACGTAGGACCAGGCACATATATGCATCGGTCCAAGTTGCCATACCTCGTTAGCACAACAAGAGGAACACCGGATTCATAGTAGTTAATCTAGTGTTGGTAGTAGTATATAAATTATAGGTTGTATATAAGGATATAGTACAGGAAGGAAGAGAGATATGAAGCAATTTTAGTCTCAAGGTTTAAGGGAAGATAAAGAGTGTATACACCTACGCCATTGTGACCGATTCTGAGCCATGTCACCTAGAGTCTCCAACCATTGGTTACGATAGTCACGCGGACCCCAACCAGGTAGTCTGCATCTGCCAACATGGCTCAGGCTAGAAGTTAGTGACTTCAAACACTGATGCCATGTTTTGGTTTGGCCGCCCCTAACTCTCTTCCAACCGTCCCCAATACTAGTCATCTTAGCGCGTCGTGGTAATCGGTGTTCAGGCATACGTAACACATGGCCCAACCATCTCAGTCGATGAAGATTCATCACCTCATCAACTGATTTACCATCGTTCCCTAATACCCTGCGTCTAACCTCACTATTACTTACACGGTTATCCCAGCAGATGCGAGCAATATTTCTAAGGCATCTGTGGTCAAATACTAGTAATCTACGAGTATCTTCTACTCTTAATGGCCATGTTTCACAGCCATAGAGTAAAACAGAACGAACTGCTGTGCAGTATACTCGTCCCTTAATTGATAGATGGATATCTCGTCTTTACCATAGGTGACGTAAGCTGGCAAAAGCCAAACGAGCTTTTTGAATCCGTGCTGAGATTTCGTCTGACACCAACCCATTAGGGCTGATCAGACTTCCAAGATAAGTGAAGTTGTCGACGCGTTCGACTACTTCACTTCCTATCCTTAGTTCGAGTGTTGACGCAGGCCAGTCCTGGAGTAACAATTTACATTTGGATGGGGAGAAACGCATCCCAAACATCCTGGCATTATTACTGAGTTCCAACAGAAGACTCTGCATTTTGCCAGCGTCTTCACCAAACAGGACTATGTCATCTGCGTATTCTAAGTCGATAAGTGAACCTCCTGATAGAAGATCAATTCCTGAAAATTCAGTCGCAGAGAGTGTTATTTCCAGCAACAGGTCTATAATGAAGTTAAACAAAAATGGGGATAGTGGACAACCTTGATGGACACCACTTGAGGTTGTAAAATCATATGACAGTTCGCCATAAGCTCTCACTCGACTAATAGTGTTCGAGTAAAGAGCCTTCAAAAGGTTTATGTACTTCTCAGGTACACCTTTCAATGACAGACACTGCCACAGAACCTCTCGGTCTACAGAGTCAAATGCTGCTTTCAAGTCAAGAAAAACTATCATTGTCGGACGCCGATAAGCGTGTCTGTGCTCTAAAACTTGACGAATGGTGAATATGTGGTCGATACAGCCACGACCAGGTCTGAAGCCAGCCTGATTTTCTCGTGTTTGCAGTTCACGAGTCTTAGTTAGGCGCCCGATAATTATTGAGGCTAGTATTTTAGATGCTATGTTAGTCAGACTAATCCCTCTATGGTTATCGCAGGATGATTTTGACCCCTTTTTATATATTGGGACAATCAGTGATTGTGACCAGTCGGATGGGATTACATCCGTCTCCCAGATTTTAGCCAGAATATTAGTCAACCTAATCGCTAAAATTGGACCACCGTATTTAAAAACCTCTGGAACCAATCCATCAGGACCAGCTGCTCTTCCCCGTTTCAGATTACCTATAGCCTTTTGAACTTCAAGTAGGGTCGGGGGGCCTATCAGATAAAAGACAATCTTACTTTTTTATTTAACTGCACAAAGAAGTTGCAATAGTACATGGGACTTAATCATTTAAACAGTAAAAGTCTGATATTATTTTCATGAGGATTGTTGATAGAGTTACGTTTTCACTCACGTACTGAAGCATCCGCTGAAAAATTTTGTGAAATTTTCTAGGCGGTGACATTTCAAGAATGGATTGATTTATTCAAGATTAGATAGCAATGATTTAATTAGTATAAAAATCCGGTATATTTGGCGAGAAGAGAAAACACCCAGAAGAAAGACATTGTAATCTCTACTAATATAATGAGCGTAGTCGCAGTTTTAAAAAGATTCCTTTTTAGCACAAAAAGGAAAGAGAGAAAAAACACCAAAATGGTTGGTCAAGGAATGAGCAAAAAGTAACGTCTTATATCATAACTTGAGAGAAACACAATAAATAGTATACAAAGACGTTTGTCATTATGTAGTTTTATCAAGCAAAATTAAACTAAGCATTACATTCTCCAAAGAAATATTTCAACTAAAAAATTATAACGAATTTATGGGTTTCATCGTAAGAATTGATTTGGAAAATCCGCTTTAGTCTGGACAAAATCGAGGATGGTTAACAAAATCATCACCGTAGGCAAATATTGCTAGAGCAGAAAGAACTGAAGCTCCGCCCCAGAATAGTACATAAGTTGCTTTCTCTGTCCAATGAGCTGAGAACAGATATAAACCAAATAATGAACAACAGGATGACTTTTGTCGAAAATTTTATATAAAATACAACAGTTATCAATTGTTTGTTTAAATAATCCACCATCCCAGGCAATATCAGACCTGAGGTAACTGTGCATAGGTTAACGTCGCCATACGTACACAAAGAAAGATAAAAATTAACTAACTCATTAGGGCTATTGTTAACTGCAATTAGGAGCTAAACATGAGAAACATGGCTTTCACTAAGTCATGAAATGTCAGAAATACAGTTTTCTACTCACTGAAATAGAACGAAAAATATATTTATTGTGAGAAACAAGGAACACATGGGATTGAATATGAAATGTATGGAGTGACACCAAGCTCAAGAACTAAAATAAAATAGAAAACGAATAGAACAGGGACCGATTCTGATCCATGTCATCTAAAAGTTTAGACCAGAGATTACGATTATTCAGCAAATCCCAACCACAAATTACACATCAATCTGAGTGCTTTATCCAGTCGACCAGTAGTCTTGCTGACTGATGTTAATTATTCCTTCAACTGTCTTGGTACGTTTTCTCCCAACTTACTGCCACTGTGGTATCCAGCATTAAAAATCGGGAAAGGTAGTGCCCACGCATGCGTGCTAAAACAGTTAACTAAAAATAGTTATTTCCTTTGGGTCCTTACATGCTATCGAAATATAATCACCAATATTTGAATCCCATACCAAAAATATTACTGTCAGATCATTGAACCAATAAGAACGATATATTTACTGTTTAGGTGAGCTTATACTAAGCATCTGCTTACAACTACTCATTAATATTCTTTCTCTTAAACTTTGAATCTAGAATGCTCGGTGCTTGCTATGTGACCACTGAAACCTTAATCTTCAGAAAATATTCAGTACTATTCGAGAACCAAGAAGTTATTGGACTCAACGTTAAAATAAGTTAAACGTTTATCGTGTTAAGGCATTTTTAGGTAAATTAATATAGCTCATTCGTGTATTTTTATGGTTTGTCAGGGGATGGTAAAAAAAAGGATGACGCTTAGTGGTTATATAATTTGCAGTGTAAAATATTTTCGTCATAAAACTTGGAAATAATGGATTTCCAGACAAAGTGACTATGATTTTTGAAGATTTATTTGATTTAAAGATTATCATTATGAATCAAGGAAAACAAAACAGCATCAGACAATTTAGGAACTTTTTCTGATATCAGGCACTCTTCAGTCGTTCAACACACAGTCTAAAACGAATATAATATCAGGACGGTGAAATAAAATGAACAAGATCAGTAGGATCAGAATCGAAATAACGGTATTACCAATGGTAGGGAGGAAAGGTGGACGGCAGAAAATACGGTTCGAAATGAATTCCAAGAATAAGAAATACGAGATAATATTGAAACCCAAGAATTAGGGAGGGACAATGAGTGAATGCATCTGTGTCACTGTGATAGATCCTCGGTCATGTCAATTAAAGTCTTCAACCACCACTGGTCAGGTAATCTGCGCTTACCAACTAAAGTAGTTTTAAATTTCAGCTAATTAACAACATAACCCATATGTGCAACAACAAGCGACTGTTTCATTTCTAATTGAGTCAACTTCATAAGTCACGTCTTCTTAAACGAACATCGGAAAAGTTATCTTAAGGCCAGTTAGTAGTGATTAGATAACTGTTATTTAGATACGTCTTCTAATAATGGACAAAAGTTAGGAAAAACGGTAAACTATTTGAATAAATTGATTCTTAACTACCCCGCCTGAAAATCCCAATAACTCAGACTCAATTTAACACCTCTGCCTTGAAATACACCGTTGAATTCTAAAATTATTTCCATAACCATATGAAGTTGTAAACCTAAAAAATAGCTACAGAGTGTGAACAGCTAGAAGTGCTATGAAATATCAACCCGTAGTTCAAGAGATAACTCTGCCTGTAGCTCTTCTAGAGCTACTGCCGGTCCCAAGCCCGAGTAAAGGAGGTGGGTTCGGTATGGGGTTAGCGACCCCATCCCGTAGAAAAGCTAACTCCCTAAAAAAACGCTAATCAGAAAAAATAATTCATACTCTGCCCTGGGAGTTGAAGGAATAATTATGACGCCTCATGATGAAAGCCGAAATTCTTCGGAAGTCACGAGACCGATGCCCCTTCTAACAACCAGAGAAACACTCTTTATAAGTACATGGAACGTCCGGACAATGTGGGAAACAGGGAAGACCTGTCAAATAGCAATGGAAATGAGGAGATACAACTTGGCAGTACTCGGAATCAGCGAAACCCGTTGGACACAAACTAGACAACAAAGTCTAGGTACAGGAGAGATGCTGCTGTATTCCGGTCACGAAGGGGAAAATGCTCCACACACTCAGGGAGTTGCTCTAATGCTGTCCAAAGAAGCAGGAAATGTACTTGTGGGATGGGAATCTCATGGACCCAGGATAATCAAAGCATCATTCAGAACAAAGAAGGAAGGGATCACAATGAACGTTATCCAATGTTATGCACCCACCAATGATAGCAACGACGATGATAAAGGCCAGTTCTATGAAAGGCTGCAATCAATTATAGCAAAGTGCTCACGAAAGGACCTGACCATCCTGATGGGAGATCTAAATGCTAAAGTCGGAGTGGACAACACAGGATATGAAAATATAATTGGACGACATGGACTAGGAGAGAGAAATGAAAATGAGGAGAGATTCGCAAATCTATGTGCATTCAACAAGTTGGTTATAGGAGGCACAATATTTCCACACAAGCGCATACACAAAGCTACATGGGTCTCACCGGACCACACCACAGAGAACCAGATAGATCATATTTGTATCAACAAAAAATTCCGAAGGTCAATGGAAGAAGTGAGAACCAGGTGAGGAGCTGCCAGATCACCACCTGGTTGTGGCCAAGATGAGACTGAAGCTAAAGAAACACTGGACAACTGGACAAACAGCACTACAAAGGTTCAATACAGCCTTCCTTCGAGATACTGACAAGCTCAACGAATTCAAGATAACTCTCAACAACAGGTTCCAAGCCTTACAGGATCTACTGAAAGAACAAGAAACTACTTTGGAGGACAACTGGAAAGGGATAAGAGAAACACTAACTTCAACGTGTCAGGAGGTTCTTGGTCCTAAGAAGCATCATCACAAGGAATGGATCTCTATGGGGACCCTGGACAAAATTCAAGAAAGGAAGAACAAGAAACTAGCAATTAACAACAGCCGAACACGAGCAGAGAAAGTCAAAGCACAAGCAGACTACGCAGAAGCAAACAGGGAAGTGAAGAAAAGCATTAAAGCCGACAAGCAGAAATACATGGGAGAACTAGCAACGGCGGCGGAAAAAGCTGCAAGAGAAGGGAATATGATACAACGAAGAAATTGACAGGGAGATATAGCAAACCAGAGAGACCGGTCAAGGACAAAGAAGGAAAGACAATCACTGAGATTCAAGAACAGAGGAAAAGATGGGCAGAATACTTCGAGGAACTGCTGAATAGACCAGCCCCATTGAATCCACCAAACATCGAAGCAGCACACACTGACCTTCCTATAGATGTCACTCCACCAACGATCGATAAGGTCAAGATGACCATCAGACAAATTGGGAGTGGGAAGGCGGCAGGGCCTGACAATATACCGGCTGAGGCACTGAAGTCAGACATTGAAGTAACTGTAAACATGCTTCACCTTCTGTTCAAGAAGATTTGGGAAGACGAGCAAGTGCCAACGGACTGGAAAGAAGGATACCTCATCAAGTTACCAAAGAAAGGAGATCTGAGCAAATGTGAGAATTACAGAGGCATCAGTTTTTTATCAGTACCAGAAAAAGTTTTCAACAGAGTGCTGCTGAACCGGATCAAAGACGCAGTGGAGGCCCATCTTCGAGACTAACAAGCTGGATTCCGCAAGGATCGGTCGTGCACAGACCAGATTGCGACACTACGGATCATCGTTGAACAATCAGTTGAGTGGAATTCGTCACTATACGTCAACTTCATTGACTATGAGAAGGCGTTTGACAGTGTGGATAGGAGCTCAAACGTGAAGAACTACTACGACAATCATCAGGAAGGTACAAGTATTTATAAACAGTTGTCTACGCAAAATACTCAACATCCATTGGCCGGATACTATCAGCAACAGCGTTTTATGGTAGAGGACAAACCAGCTTCCAGCTGAAAAGGAAATTAGGAAAAGACGTTGGAAGTGGATAGGACATGCATTAAGGAAATCACCAATGTGCATCACGAGGCAATCCCTAACTTGGAATCCGGAAGGGAAGCGGAATAGAGGAAGGCCAAAGAACACATTACGCCGGGAAATAGAAGCAGATATGAAAAGGATGAATAGAAACTGGAAAGAACTGGAAAGGAAGGCTCAGGACAGAGTTGGATGGAGAATGCTGGTGAGCGGCCTATGCTCATCGACGAGGATAAACAGGAGCAAGTAAGTAAGTTCAAGAGATGAGAATGTATCCAGTCATCACTATAACTGCAATGAAGTACCCTTTGTTAACACAGGATGTATGGAGTAATAAAGTTTCTTTACAAGTATGGAATTTATCAGCCTGAAGTTACTTCTTATTAAAGGGTTATTGTTCCCACAGAGATTTGAACACAGCATTGATTTGGCAAGGAAACCAGGTCAGGCTGAATGATAAGTGAAATACAATGAACCATAATGAGTAAGGTGAATAAATATTCACCTAGCCACGGTACGTACGTTCATCTCGTGGTCAACCTATCTACCTACATATTGTAAGTCATTCATCTGGCATTCGGTAGTGATATCTTATGAAGTCTTGTCTCAACATTATGTTAACTTACCATGGTCGGTGCATGAGAAATTGAACTTGACTGTTAAAAATAACGAGTGCAAAAACATTAAAAGCTGATCTTGCAATCACTAAACTATACAGTTTTGTTATAGATATGTCACTGTATGAATATCATGTAATGAAGTGTAAAATCCCAACCAGTTACACAACAAAATTAGGCGAGACTGTAATTTATGGACGGACTAGCCAGATTTAAGACGGGAGGTCATGGATTTTGGCGCGAAATTCACTCGTCCATATGGCTAAATAGCATCTTGGTATTATAGATGATGCCAGTTCGTCAAGACCTTAATCCTAACGTTCAACTGTGAATCCTAATTCCTCACACCAGTTTACAACACTCATTTGGTAGGTGAACACTCTCAAGATTACTTAACCATCGCTCACGGGTCGTCCATAAATTATAGTCTAACTCAAAACTATTATAATTCTTATCAAATATAGATTATGTTAAATGTCTACCTGTAGGAAAGATACAACACAATACAGACATAGCCAATGTAAAACTAAATACTAGTGGTAGAAACTGTGTAAACCATTCAGAATCAGCATTTTTTAGGCGACGTCTAGGAGGTCCACCTGGTCCATGTAATGATTTAAGATTCCCATTAACATCCATCACTTTATATTGGCCAAGAAGTAAATGCATTGAATCCTGACGGAAGCCATCATTGAAATTATTTAAATAATAACGAATTATTGAATAATAACCATCCATCAGTATACCATAGAATGTTCTTTTACCTATTTTTTAATACACAAAACATCTTAAATAGCGAATAAATTTTATGGAAGATTTAATTTGATATTAAATGACTGGAGACAAACAGTAGCTAGTCATTGACCTAGTTTTTGTGCACAATATAACTTAACTACAAAATATTGAGAGAACTGATAATTCTTTATAGGGGTGGACTCATGTAACTCAGTATCACAGTCGAAAACCTTATTACTGAACTATTCAGATGATCAGCAGAGATGGATAGTGGCTAGCAGTGGAATCCAGGACGCGCGTTTCGTCCTATTTGGGACTCGTCAGCTGGATGTACCTGCATCTCAGAGTTGATGTTCACTCTGGGATTCGAATCCAGTACTCTCGCTTCAAAAGCCATCGCGTTATCCACTCGGCCACTGAGTCCTGATAGCTACTTGCTTGTGCGATGGGGTGAAGTTTAAATTCAACTTAGTATTGTTTGTTTGAATCTTCCCATAGGACGAAACGCGCGTCCTGGATTCCACTGCTAGCCACTATCCATCTCTGCTAACCATGCTTGTGAATTAAGGTATATCGAGGCAATACGCACAGTATGCACATATGCCAATTAGAGACTGACCAGTTGCAGTCCTAACAAATCGATGGGAAGATTCAAACAAACAATACTAAGTTGAATTTATTCAGATGATCGCCTCATCCGAATTTGACTAATAGAATCTGACCAGCACTATAAACTAGCCATCAAATCGGTGACTACTCACTGACTGATTGATGTGAAGTTCAATCTTCATTTATTCTGCAGTTACATCATTTGTTTAGCGACTGTATGAATGCTTAATGATATAATTAACGAAGCAGAAGTACGAAAGGAATTTTATTTACCACAGTTACAAAACATTCAGTTAAGTAAACTCAAACTCACAATTTTAAGGATGAGAATTACATTCTAGTAAGTTGTTTAGAAACAATGGCAAACTGCAGGATTCATCAAATTGTAGTGAAGCGATTATTGCATGGAACTGACTAGTAAGCATCAGATAGGTTAATGTGTATGTTGTACATGCCCTAGTAGCATCCTTACATTGAGCCAGCTGCCTGAACACTGACCAACAGTGACAATAGTCTTTTACATTAGGACTGTATTCGATCTACCTGATAGGAGTATGTTCTGCAACTCTGTATTAGAGAAAAGTATTCCCAGAAGCTTACTAGCATCTTGGAAGGAAAAAATGAAACGCCTAAGGTCGAATATGGGCACGAAACCACTTATAACCTTTGTTTCAAACTAGTAATTGTTAAATAACGTTACTCAATGTCACCATTCCCCTCTCTATTTTCATTCGAAGACGTTTTAAAAAGAACTCTCTAAAAAATGTATTCATTACCTAAAGTCAGAGCAGTGTATTCGTATTCGGGTTACAATTGGTACGAACGTTACGTAAGTTTAGTTAAAGTACTGTGGTATGGCTGTGAAAGTCAGCTTCATTCGGACGATGATATTCAACATCTCACTCTTTTTTTTACTTAATAGTTGAAAGTCCTGTGTTCTAACCACTAGACAACCGCTTCTACTAAGAAACCACTGGGTACATAGTAGCACTAAAAATAACAGTTTCGCAAACTATAACTATTAATGGTTCTTCAACACATCAGCTAACAATAAAAACTACCTTTAAATTACATAAGTACCCGTATATTACTTGAATGAATACTTACTTCAAAGTCAATATGAATTCAAACCTTGTAAAAGTCTTATTTTCTCTAAAACAAAATTTACCTGTTCTTGTGAAATCTGTTTTCAAAGCTGGTGTACCTGCATATTGAAGAGAGCAGTAATCTGCATTGTTAGCCCAAATCGATTTAAAACGAAGTCCGAAACCGGGCCACAAATGAGATAGAGGTGATGTAGTACTAGCATCAGCTGTTCGAGAAACTGTACCTTGCAATATACTAATCTCAATCATTGCTTGTTCTAATGCACACCAACTAAGCATAGATTGAACCACATTTGTTCTATCCAAGCAATCAATACAGTTTGAACGAAATGTTCCAGTTTGACGAGTGATAATTGTTGCGGAGTTATTCATATCTATATGTAGTTGCCTAAAAAATGGAAGATATAAAGCTAAATAGTAAACAGTATCCTTTCTTCACTATGATTACAAAAAACCGATAGCACTGATCTATACAGTTTTTAGAGTACTGTTAGTCATCAGTCTTTCAGGCCATATGGTTATATAACCTGATACTATAACTGATAAGTCACAACGCAGAACTTCGTACGTACGTACATCAGTTCGAGTTGCCATACCACATCAACAAAGAGATGCAGTTTTCCATTCAAATCCCATAGTAGTAGTAGTAAGAGTACAGGCATTATATGAAAGATTAGGGAGTATATTCCAGTGAAATAAATTTGGAAAGAGAAAAACGATAGGGACATGTAGAATTTAGAAGATTAGACTTTGGCAGAACACAAAGACTGGATGCACCTTCGCCATTGCAAACGATTTTGAGCCATGTCATTCAAGGTCTTTAACCATCGATTGCTATCATCTCGCGAATCCCAACCAGGTAGTCTACACCTACAAACATGGCTCACTCCACTTGTCAGTGATTTCATGTATTTGTGCCATATTTTGGTCTGGCCGCCCCTAGCTTTCTTGCAACCTACTCCTACACCATAAAACATTGCATGTCGGGGCAGTCGGTGGTTGGGCATACGTAACACGTGTCCCAGCCATCTCAACTGATGAAGTTTCACTACTTCATCAATCGGTTTGCCATCATTACCTAGTACTCGTTTCCTAACAACTGCATTACTTACTCGGTGGTCCCATCATATACGAGTAATGCTTCGAAGACACCTGTGATCAAAAACTAGTAGCCTACGAATATCCTCTACTCTTATTGGCCATGTTTTACTGCTATAAAGTAGGACGGAACGAACTGCTGCACAGTAAACCCTTCCTTTGGTTGCTAGACGAATATCTCGCTTACGCCATAAATGACGCGAGTTGGTGAAAGCTAGTCGAGCCTTCTGTAACCGTGCTGAGATTTCGTCACACACCAGACCGTTGCTGCTATCTTGACGTGGTGGTCGGGCTTGCCTATCGTGATGATCCAATCGGGCTATGCTGGCTGGAACAATCGTTCCTCAAGGTTCCTCAAGAAATACCCTTCCACGGTGTGGGCAGCCGGGAAGTGATACTAACCCTCATACTCATAACTGCACACAAGACCAAGTTGGTCACTTTCAAATCCTTCCTACTCCTAATAACTCTCTTATCTCCTCGACTAACACTTCCCACGTCCTTTTATCACCTCGCACCGCTAGGGCAAACGATTCGAGTACACGGAACGTTATTCCTGGTCTTCCGAAACCACGCTCTAAACTACATGTATCCTGAAGTAACATTTTGCACTTCAAGGGAGAGAATCGCATTCCGAACATGCCTGCATAGTTGCTTATAGTGGTCAGAAGACTCTGCATGTTGCTAGCGTCCTCACCAAATAGAACTATGTCATCGGCGTATTCTAAGTCAACAAGTGGGTCTCCCAGTAAAAGTTCAACTCCTGAAGATTTCGATGATGAAAGTGTTATCTCTAAAAGCATGTTAACGACAAAGTTAAACAAGAATGGAGAGAGTGGACAGCCCTGACGAACACCACTTGAGGTAACCAATTCCGATGACAGTTCGCCATAGGCTCTAACTCGACCAGTTGTGTTCGAGCAGAGAGCCTTTATAAGGTTTATGTACTTCTTTGGTACTCCTTTCAGTGACAAACACTGCCAAAGAACCTCACGATCAACAGAGTCAAATGCCGCATTAAGGGCGAGAAATACTACTATTGTGAAGCCTTTGGATGTGTATCTATGTTCTAGGACCTGACGTAGAGTGAATATCTGCCTTTTCCATCTCTTTCGTTGCCCACCACTGCTCGCGATAGTTCAGGAGACTTTTGATTAACCTAGATCTGATTTGCTTACGCCCTTCGTCGTGTTCGGAGCCTGATGGGATGAGTTTACAAGAATCCATCAATGTAATAGGCTTAGAAGAAATCCATACGGGGTACCTAGCCTGTCGTATGCCCTGATGGTGTTTTCGTGACTTTCAGGTTGCCTGATCTGTCAAGGGCGATGGGACAGTGTATGACAGTATTGTTGTGTGCTAGGTTCAAAAAGAATTGTTTCCTATATGTATGCAAGTCCGCCCCGTTATTGTTATTGTTCCTATTTAAAAATGGCCTGGATAGCTCAGTAGTAAAGTCTCTGACCGTGAAGCTGAGTAATACGGGATCAAATCCGTCAGGAAGCATCAGTTTCCTTAAGATTACTTTGCCCCCAAATGTCCTGGTACGGTCGAAAGCCTGAAGAGAGTTCGCTCTCCCTCTCGAAATGCTCTCAGATGGACACGCGTATATAGCCTCTGCCAGGGAAGTCCTACTCACTGCCTTCTCGTGGCATTACTGTTGTTTACGAAATTGAGAGGACGAAAAGCGAACGTCCAGAGCTTTTACCGGGTTGGAGGACACGGCAAGTCTACCTAGGGGAGCTGGAAAACCCTGATTCCAAACCAACGGTGCACATGAGCCCCAGTATCCTGAGGGGACAAACGGCGTATGAGTCAATCGTCAGTCACCGGCTACCATGGGACTGCATCTCCTCAGGATGCGCCACTGCCTTGTGGATCAGACCTTTAGGTCGAAGGCTCCGGATGTGGCCCTCTAAGAAAACCATCTGCTTCAGTTTGGGCACCTGGGCAGTATCACAGCCCTCACACAAATCAAATGAGATTTGTGCGGCGCATAACTATTTGGTGCTTCCTTGTACCGATATTTATGTGTTTAAATAAAAATAAATAAATAATAGATGTTACTGCTGTTTCCAAAGCTGTTCGTATATTTTTCCAAGCAACATCTGGGTCAGCCTCGTTTACAGAACTGCCTAAATGTGAACTCACTTGTTCCTGGAACTTACTTTTGGCTTTCACGTCCCTCAGTTCAATTTTAATGGGTCGTCTTAGTATGGCTTTTCTGCGTCCATTGAGGCGCAAATAAATACATGCTCGTATTAAAGCATGATCAGATTCTAAACATGTATTCCAGAACGAGTGACAGTCTTATATCGAGCCTCTCCAACGATGACTGGTGGCAATATGGTCTATTTGAGTCCATCGTTGGTTTGGTACAGGCGGTCGCCATGTCAGACGATATCTCTCCTTATGCTTAAAATTAGTGCTTGCTAAAAGTAAACGATTGTCTGAGCACAAGTGCAGCAGACGATCACCATTATCTGTTTGCTGGGCCGGGATACTAAAATACCCACCTAAATGTCTTTCTGTTTGGTTTAAGCTACCTACTTGGGCATTAAAGTCACCTGCGACGAGTACTATGTCTGAGAGTTTAGCTTTTTGAAGAAGTTCAGAGAGCTTTCTGTAAAAGTCATTTTTCACCTCATCCGGACTGCAGCCAGTGAGAACGTAGGCAGAAACGACGAAGAGGCGACGACATGTGTCCCTATCTTTCCGAGTTCTTACGGAGCCGTTTAGCCGAACAGCAAATAGACGGCTTTTAACGGGGACCTGCTATAATAGTGCTTGTACTGCTTTCGTACTAAGTGCTATACCCACACCTGCAAGTCCACGGGAACTAGCCACTAGACACTACGATTGTCAGCTTGTAGTAAGTATGACGGTGTTCTAGCATTTGGGAGAGGGTGTAGATATAATCAATTTATCCTCGACCAGAACGAAAACCAGTCTGCTCCTCCCAATTCAATCTTTCATGGGTTTCGAAACAATCTATGAAATATGACGGGCGTCTAATAATTTAGATGCCATCAGAAGTAATCGTGTCCTGCTACGGTTGTTGGATAGGTGAAGTGAATCCTTTTTAAAGTTAGGGACAACCATCGACTCATTTTATGATGTTGGAACATTCTGTAATTCCCAGATATGTGTAAATAATTCTATCAATTCTTTAACCACAGTGTTGTCACCATTCGAACGATTAGAGCTGTAACAGCTCCAGCACGTAGTGCAACATCAACGCATGCAAAACCGAACGAAGATGCCACAGGGTCCCTGGATAAACGCACGTAAAACAAGCTTCTCGAAACGATAGAGTGTGAATTTGTAGAATTGCACTAGTCTTGAATGCGGGTCTCGGATAGACAACAGGGATTGATATTAAGACTTTAAAGACATAGCCAACCCCATCTGTTGTCCGATCTGCATTAGTGTGCGAACGTTGAAGGAAGTCAGTTTGAATGGTATACGTGGTTTCAGAAAAACTGTTTCAGTATTCGTATTCGGTGGTAGCATTCAACTTTCGACCAGTCAGTGACTTGATATCGTTTAGATAGGACAGAATTTCCACCACAGGTGAGCTGTTGTATAAGTTGAAGCATGAAGGAATATGCGAAATGGGAATAAAGGAATAGATAAGTGACGCGACATAAAGTAAAAACGTAACTGGTAGGTCGCTATCATAATTAAAAGCGATCGGAGGTAAGTCATCTGGTTCTGGTGAAGTGTGACGTTTGAAGAGTTGGAGTTCCTCGCAGACTTACTACTGTTTAGGTATAAGTTGAAGAATGAAGGAATATGCAAAATGGAAATAAAGGAATAGACAAGTGACGCGATGTAAAATAAAAACGAGTATTAACAAGTAGTTATTAGCATAATTTGCGAGAATAGGAATGAAGGAGTGAATGTTGTTTCTATTGTAGTCATAATTTAGTTTGTGTGTGGGCTAGGATACTGCCTGGGCGCCGAAGCCGAAGCTCTCCAGAGAAAGCCAATGAACTTTTATTCGGTCAATTGCTGACTTCCGTTATAATACGAGTCAAATGGCTGGGCTTTACTAAGGATTAATTAGATACACAGGTTAGATATATTAGATGGATTTCAAGCAATTACTAGTGTTAAGTGCGTATAATATAAATCAGATTATCATTTATTCCAGTTAAAACCATGCTCAGATTTATGTTTTACAGGTAAAAACGCTTAAACAGCTTTTCAAATTAGTTGGCTTATTTTACAAATCTGGCTACATGGCATCAATATCTTCTAGAAGATTTCGCTGTAGAGGCGGTAGTAGTTGATTATTTTAAACCTGAGTGATGTGTGCAAAAGCGTCACGTCAAGTTGTCATCACATCATGACTCTAATACCTGATTTTTTCAGACAGTCAATACCTTATCAAAATATTTTTAATTTTTTAGTTAATCGTTACAACCATCTTCACATTTTAAATTTATTCCTCATTTTTCTCATGCTCCTTAAGAGGATGATGATTAACATTCATACACTTGATTTTACCCTTTTTTTCTACTTCTTAGTCGTTACGTGATCTCATTTCCATCCCTGAAATTGCTGACTATTCTCTATATTTTTCGACAGACTAAGAGTGGTAATAGGTTTACGTAAGTAAGCGACATAGACATTTAAAATTCGGACCACGACGTCACAACACGTTAAAAACTCAGCCTACAAGGGTGACTTAATACCACAATCGAATAGTCTCGGCAATAAACTAACTGACTGGATATAATACACCAAAAGGGGTAAGATCAATATAATATAGCTGTCACATACATTATCAAATTTTCGTAACACAGTTTAACACGTTTAGATATTTATATTCAAATTATGTGCTACTAAACATGGGTAGTCTAGTATCGATCCGTTTTCTTAGTCTTCGACGAACATTGCTGTTAATGGATTCCTGCAACAGACTTCGATTCTTAATCCATTTACACTACGTTTTTATTTTTCAGAGCATCAACAAATTTCCACTTACTTGGATAACCGGTATCCATAAGCCTCTATGGCACCTCGCCACCACATCGTTCGTTTCAGGAAGGCCTTCCACAATAGGTGAATTGAACATATTTTACACCACTGATGATGTTATTCCCCTTTTCAATGTTCGCCTTTATTAATACGTGCTTTTCAATGGTTGGGCCTTTGCTTGCCCGGTTATTATTGCGAACCGCTTTATCTATCACCTGTTCTTTTCTGGGCAGCCTCTCTTAGTGGGATAATAAAACCATAATACTTTGACACAGCCACATGATAGATCTTTTAACCTACATTCATTTTAACGACTAGATGTCGATAAGGATAAGAGCAAAATCTACAGGACAGGAAAGGCAAATTAATACCTAGGTACATATTGATATAAAGAGGCAATAAAGTACTGTTTAAGATTACGCCATCTAACAACACTACTTAAACCATTGAGGGTGAATAAATCGAATACAATTTTGGTCGATAAATTAACAGTGAGGAACTAAATACGACAAAATGATTTTGAAAGTAAAAGGAGCAAACAAAGACTCACTTCGATCTCAATAATTCTGGTATAAGGTGTTCTAACAAGATACCCAGTCGATCCCAACGAGTTGAACCACATTCACGGTGAAAATCAAAACTTTCATATCTTTCGTAGTAAAAAGAATAAAATACAAACTATAAAATATTGCAGGGAAATGAATTTCAATACATTAGTTGATGGTTATAAGTCTCAAATACGATTATTTTCGCATGAAAGAGTCGACACAGACTAGAAATATTACCAATTTACAAAAACGTTTGTAGATTAACAGCTATTATGTATAGATACTTTGGACAAAAAGATTTGGTAGTCTAGTCAAACTAAAAGTAATTTAGCACAAAACTAGTTGACTTGGTGAACAACACTGTATTTTTGATCATGCATATTCAATAAAATACGGAAAGTGGCACGTATGATTTGACGATCCCTATGAACAAATACCATTAACCTATTACCAACGATCTCCCAACCTCGAAAGTCATTTTTTCACAACCACAAAAATTCGAACGCAAATTCGACAGCGCTGGTTGCTTTACACTACAGAAGTACCAGCTGTGAAGAGTAAAAAACGGTTATTACATACTAAGTAAGAGGATAATCAACACAAATGGCTTCATTCTAACAAGAACCAATATATATGAAGAGACAACCAGAGCAAGTAAGTGAAGTAAATAAGTATGTATGTATGTTATTGTTTGCACTTACCGAGAGGAATTCCAGATAAATAATATTTATTTGACTGGTTTAAGTTCAAAAGGTATTTAGAAAATTTAAAAAACTTGGATTTATTTATTTAATATCAGGGCTCGAAAGCGGTCGAATTGAGTAGGAAACGGCACGTATTGATTTACTAGTTTAAAATCCTCGATAAGTAAATTATTACATTATCCAAATTTATCAAAGGGACTAATTGTTTTAAATATATATTATGAGTTGCGAAATGAGTAAACAAGGAACTATGATGTAAACTGACACGCTCACTGTTTATTAAAGCAGAATAGTTGCTTCAAAATAAAACGGACTAACAAAATTAGTTTATCAAACTACATCGGATTTGTTACATTTTTGCTTATTTTAGCGGCATACATCAAAACACAATTGCTATTTATTACTGAATGTATTCACAGACAATTCTTTGTAGTTCCAAAGAGTAGTTGTTTATGAGGATAACATGGTTTGGATTGGCACTAGATAATCACCGGCGCTGCCAAAATAACATATGATTAGATCAGATTTAAAACATAATTATCACTAAAATCTGGGTTACTGACCGACCTACTCAATAAAAACAGTCGACAATGTTAGGAATGTGTACAACAAACTGATATCAAACTCAGAAGAAACGCAGCCAGAGTTTCTCCTCAACAGACTTCAGTTTGTGACGAAGACTGTTTTGGAAAAAGTAAACATGAATAATTGCACAAGTTATTCTTACTTGACTTCTTTTTCATCCAAAGGTAAGACGGCCATAGCATAAGCATGTCCTAAATCACGTTCCATCCCTTTTTGATCTAATAAATTTATTATTGTTTGTCGTCCGTAACCGTAATCGTATATTAAACTATGAAAATGTTGGCGTGCAATATTAGCTTGGATTGCCTCCAAATTCTTCCCAATCTCATTATCGGTTAGGTTAGGCGAGTGTGTTATACTGGAAGATAATTGACTGCCACCTACTAAAACAGCTGGTTTATACCTTAAGTTCGGTCGTTGACTCCAATATATTGGCACAGAACCACGAAGCTTCAGTTTGGTTATTTTAAATTATGACGGATGGAAAAGATAAAAATTAAAGTGTGTGAGAATATAAAACATAAATAATTCAATAAGACAGAATCGATTCATTGTAATAATAATAATATTATACACATAGTAAAAAGCTGGAATTCTATTCTACTCACTGCCTTCTCGTGGCATTACTGTTGTTTACGAAATTGAGAGGACGAAAAGCGAATGTCCAGAGCTTTTACCGGGTTGGAGGACACGGCAAGTCTACCTAGGGGAGCTGGAAAACCCTGATTCCAAACCAACGGTGCACATGAGCCCCAGTATCCTGAGGGGACAAACGGCGTATGATTCAATCGTCATTCACCGGCTACCATGGGACTGCATCTCCTCAGGATGCGCCACTGCCTTGTGGATCAGACCTTTAGGTCGAAGGCTCCGGGTGTGGCCCTCTAAGAAAACCATCTGCTTCAGTTTGGGCACCTGGGCAGTATCACAGCCCTCACACAAATAGAATGATTTGTGGCTCATATCTTTTTGGTGCCTCCTTGTACCAATGCTTATGTGTTCAAATAAATAAATTCTTAGTAATAGGAATTAAAAAGACAGTAACTTAATCTGAACTCTATAGACCAATATACTAAGCTACAATGAGAAAAGTTTTAGTTAATTTCCGAAAGATTTTAACTAGTTTTTGTGAATAAACCTACCGAAATCAGATTAAAGAATCAAATTCATTTAACCCATTAGAAGCTTATTAGTAATGTCGGTAAATTATAATCAAACAGTAGTCATAGAGGCTATAATTTACTTTTTAAAAAATCTGCACTTGATTACTGGTTAATTTATAACCCAGTTTAATTAATATTAAAATGTCAACATAAAGTACTAGCACTAAGCCAACTCGATTATTAAAAGTGATAACAGTACGCCACTCAAACTGAAAACAATGTTTTATTTAGAAATTAAGTTACAGTACAGCTTTTGTGCTTATGAACGTTGATACAAAATTGTATTACTTTCCCTAGCGGTAGCTACAAACACATGACTATTTAAGAGCATTACGAGAAAGAAGACTCTTTACTATCATCTCTTTTGGGTTATCTTCTATATGATTGCCGGAATCTTAAAAGGTTGTTTGCGTTCGGCGGACCTATTAAGTAAATAATGATGAAGTGAGATGTAGGTCACTGTGAAGAGATAGTATGTTGATTGATTGGTCTGTGGAACTTCGGCAACTGTGGTTGGAGCATATTCTACACATACCTTGTCACTTGTTCTGAAGTCTTGTATCTTCCATGATATAAGTACTTTGTGAAAACGTTTGTACTGGCCAGACCAAGATCTATGACTTGGAGAAAAACTCTTCGGCCTTGGGTATGCACATATTTTCATACTAGGTGATGATATTCAAGCTATACAAACTAACACTTATTCAGTTAGCAATCAGTGTCTGTAAGCTATGGCACGTACTTTGTATCTTCTAAATGCAATGTACTTTTACAAAACTTGGATGAGTCTGTGTCTGAATCTACTCTTTGTGGTGAGCCATCTGAAGTAATCGAAAGGTCCGTGTATTTGGATTGTTGTGTGAGTGCTGACGGTGGCGTATAATGGAAACCAAAGTAACTTATCCCAATCTGGTACATCTTTAGTGCCGCCATAGTAAGGCTGGCTGGTTTATCATCGCTATTTCATACTATTTCAAAAAATGTTATGAAGTTATAACGCACTATTAGTGAAAACAACTGATTATTAGGAATGAATCCCAGTTTTTCTTTCATGTTTTAACAACATAAAAGGCCAAAACATACAGTAAATAGGTTATTACCAAATCCCACAAACCTGAACAAAAGAAAATCTATGCCCTGAAATATCGACTAATTGTTCTGTTTCCACAGTATTTGCACAGTTGCCTTCCCCGTCGATTCCACGTGTGTTGAATCTTGTTCCAGTTCGATGTACACTACGACGAGAGATGAGAGAATACACGAGATTTCCCTTAAGAATGTCAGACAAACTTTCCGGATATGATATTATTCCAACATATCCTTGAATGATAGGTACACAGTAATCGAAGCGATTCCAACCAGCTGTTTGCTTATGCTTGAAAGATGATGTAGAATTAAGCATAGATTCCCATTCATTTAACAGAGATTTATTCCACGTAAACCGTGTATCTGCCTATATGAGTAGATTAAAATATAAGAGCTCTTGTAAGAATATCAGTCCGTAAACATGAAAAACGAGACCAATAATACTTTCTACATCTCATTCATAATCAACATGTAGCCGGAGATAAATGTGAGTTGGCCTAAATTGCCATACCACATTGTACAACGAGATGAAGTTAACAAGTTGTTAACCTACCTTTTACTACATTAATTCAAGACTTTATTTTTCTTATCACAACTAGTGTGGTGTGGGTTACTGATATCCACATAAGTAGTATATGGTAACGGTTGGGCATTGAATGTGTTTCAGTAGAAGATCGATAGGGAGAGAACGGGAACGGCACGCAATTGGTACGAAAATGCATGAGCAATTATATTCAGAGACTATGGATGAATATTTGCAGAAGAAACAGTCTAATTGAGACAATTGATTGTTACTTTTCCAATTAACTGTTCACTATATGGCTCTCATATTTTAATAAGATGTTCTGTAATGTTGTGCTAAAATACAGTCGATTGTCCCCCACTCGTGTTCTTGTTCACTTCACTAGTACATCTGTCATCATACTATCAACTTGCATTTTTACTCGTTTGTTTGTATGATTTATTTCACTGTTATCGCTGACTCATAAGCTGCCTTTATTGGTTTAATATTTCCATATACCCATATATATTGATGTCTGTTTGAGTAAAGTCTGGTGAGGATCTAGGTGAAAACAATAATGTTCGCTTATATGTTGTTCAAATTACACCCAACAATTCCTAAACACTTTATATTACAATGACCTTTTGAACAGTGAAACCCAAAAAGTCTACCCTGAGGATGTACATACAAGCATTTTATGCACAGAATGATCACGAAGCATTTACCACCACCCCGATAAATTGCCAAAGTGACTTCGGAAATACAAATAAAACGTACAAATTACATAAGAAACTAGAACACTCCCCTAGTTAGTGGGTGGAGCGATAATTGGGTGTCTACTTTCTTTTCTTGAAAAGCCCTCATATAACAATGTTTACAACCGCTGTCGGGAAAATCCTACTCACTATCTCATGGTGAGGGTGTTGTTTACGAAAGTAAGAGAGAAAGAGGTAAATGTATGGTGCTTAAAATGAGTTGGTGGATACGGGGGATCCATCTGAAGGGTTTGGAAAATTCTGATCTCAAACCAATGGTGATTACGTATGATTCAGGATATGATGTTAGCGCTAAATCTTGTAACTCCGCCTGTAGCTCTTCTAGAGCTACTGCCGGTCCCAAGCCCGAGTAAAGGAGGTGGGTTCGGTATGGGGTTAGCGACCCCATCCCGTAGAAAAGCTAACTCCCTAAAAAAACGCTAATCAGAAAAAATAATTCATACTCTGCCCTGGGAGTTGAAGGAATAATTATGACGCCTCATGATGAAAGCCGAAATTCTTCGGAAGTCACGAGACCGATGCCCCTTCTAACAACCAGAGAAACACTCTTTATAAGTACATGGAACGTCCGGACAATGTGGGAAACAGGGAAGACCTGTCAAATAGCAATGGAAATGAGGAGATACAACTTGGCAGTACTCGGAATCAGCGAAACCCGTTGGACACAAACTAGACAACAAAGTCTAGGTACAGGAGAGATGCTGCTGTATTCCGGTCACGAAGGGGAAAATGCTCCACACACTCAGGGAGTTGCTCTAATGCTGTCCAAAGAAGCAGGAAATGTACTTGTGGGATGGGAATCTCATGGACCCAGGATAATCAAAGCATCATTCAGAACAAAGAAGGAAGGGATCACAATGAACGTTATCCAATGTTATGCACCCACCAATGATAGCAACGACGATGATAAAGGCCAGTTCTATGAAAGGCTGCAATCAATTATAGCAAAGTGCTCACGAAAGGACCTGACCATCCTGATGGGAGATCTAAATGCTAAAGTCGGAGTGGACAACACAGGATATGAAAATATAATTGGACGACATGGACTAGGAGAGAGAAATGAAAATGGGGAGAGATTCGCAAATCTATGTGCATTCAACAAGTTGGTTATAGGAGGCACAATATTTCCACACAAGCGCATACACAAAGCTACATGGGTCTCACCGGACCACACCACAGAGAACCAGATAGATCATATTTGTATCAACAAAAAATTCCGAAGGTCAATGGAAGAAGTGAGAACCAGGTGAGGAGCTGCCAGATCACCACCTGGTTGTGGCCAAGATGAGACTGAAGCTAAAGAAACACTGGACAACTGGACAAACAGCACTACAAAGGTTCAATACAGCCTTCCTTCGAGATACTGACAAGCTCAACGAATTCAAGATAACTCTCAACAACAGGTTCCAAGCCTTACAGGATCTACTGAAAGAACAAGAAACTACTTTGGAGGACAACTGGAAAGGGATAAGAGAAACACTAACTTCAACGTGTCAGGAGGTTCTTGGTCCTAAGAAGCATCATCACAAGGAATGGATCTCTATGGGGACCCTGGACAAAATTCAAGAAAGGAAGAACAAGAAACTAGCAATTAACAACAGCCGAACACGAGCAGAGAAAGTCAAAGCACAAGCAGACTACGCAGAAGCAAACAGGGAAGTGAAGAAAAGCATTAAAGCCGACAAGCAGAAATACATGGGAGAACTAGCAACGGCGGCGGAAAAAGCTGCAAGAGAAGGGAATATGATACAACGAAGAAATTGACAGGGAGATATAGCAAACCAGAGAGACCGGTCAAGGACAAAGAAGGAAAGACAATCACTGAGATTCAAGAACAGAGGAAAAGATGGGCAGAATACTTCGAGGAACTGCTGAATAGACCAGCCCCATTGAATCCACCAAACATCGAAGCAGCACACACTGACCTTCCTATAGATGTCACTCCACCAACGATCGATAAGGTCAAGATGACCATCAGACAAATTGGGAGTGGGAAGGCGGCAGGGCCTGACAATATACCGGCTGAGGCACTGAAGTCAGACATTGAAGTAACTGTAAACATGCTTCACCTTCTGTTCAAGAAGATTTGGGAAGACGAGCAAGTGCCAACGGACTGGAAAGAAGGATACCTCATCAAGTTACCAAAGAAAGGAGATCTGAGCAAATGTGAGAATTACAGAGGCATCAGTTTTTTATCAGTACCAGAAAAAGTTTTCAACAGAGTGCTGCTGAACCGGATCAAAGACGCAGTGGAGGCCCATCTTCGAGACTAACAAGCTGGATTCCGCAAGGATCGGTCGTGCACAGACCAGATTGCGACACTACGGATCATCGTTGAACAATCAGTTGAGTGGAATTCGTCACTATACGTCAACTTCATTGACTATGAGAAGGCGTTTGACAGTGTGGATAGGAGCTCAAACGTGAAGAACTACTACGACAATCATCAGGAAGGTACAAGTATTTATAAACAGTTGTCTACGCAAAATACTCAACATCCATTGGCCGGATACTATCAGCAACAGCGTTTTATGGTAGAGGACAAACCAGCTTCCAGCTGAAAAGGAAATTAGGAAAAGACGTTGGAAGTGGATAGGACATGCATTAAGGAAAGCACCAATGTGCATCACGAGGCAATCCCTAACTTGGAATCCGGAAGGGAAGCGGAATAGAGGAAGGCCAAAGAACACATTACGCCGGGAAATAGAAGCAGATATGAAAAGGATGAATAGAAACTGGAAAGAACTGGAAAGGAAGGCTCAGGACAGAGTTGGATGGAGAATGCTGGTGAGCGGCCTATGCTCATCGACGAGGATAAACAGGCGTAAGTAAGTAAGCTCAACCTTGTAATACAATCATACCTTCCTTAAGCCTGTTACTCCTATTTGGGCACACGCCGCCAACAAAGAATCGTGCTTATGTGATCGATCTAGTTGTCCGTAGTATGGCCATGTGAAACCCATTTAGCTTTGTGTATGCATTTGTGAGAATACCACCATCTATGAGCACGACTCAAAGTAAACATATTTTCCAATCTTTGACCATTCTCCCATGGTTTGGCTTCTCTGAATCCAAAAAGATGCGTGCAAACACGTGCTTGCAGTAGAGTACGATCTAAGTTCAGACGTGTACTTCAGTCTTTTACCGAAACCTCTCTAACGATAGCTGATACCAATATGGTTTCCTAGCATCTATCGTTGAGTCAATTTTCGTGGTTTCCTTGTCAGATGTTTTTCCTTATGCTCAAAGTTGGTGTATGCCAAGAATGATTAGTTATTTAAGTACAATTACAGTAGATAGTTGTCATTATCTATTCATTGGGCTAGGACGCCAGTTTGTCTTGAATTACTTACTTGGATGTTAAAATCGCCTATCACTTATACTACGTTTGCACGCTTAACTTTTTGGGGATGGAAAGTATCCTAAAAAGTCCACCTTTTACTTCATTTGAACTGTCATCAGTGGGTGTAGACAGATACGATGAAAAAGCAACATAATCCCGCGCCAATGGGAAAGACAGAACATAGGAGTCTACCGAAAGGAATCTAGTCAAGGGGTTGTTCAGTTTTTAAACTTAATGCTATACCTACGCCGGCGATATCACGAGTTGATGCCACATATGCAGATACAAAGAAGGTATATCGTGTTGGCTCTCTATACTGGCTGCGTGAGGTCAGATTTATGATAATGATAATACCCTATATGCATGTTTAAGGGACGAAACATGTATCGATAGTGTGGGATTTTGAACACTAGCGAACGAAGCCTACACCATAAAACATTGCACGTCGGGGCAGTCGGTGGTTGGGCATACGTAACACGTGTCCCAGCCATCTCAACTGATGAAGTTTCACTACTTCATCAATCGGTTTGCCATCATTACCTAGTACTCGTTTCCTAACAACTGCATTACTTACTCGGTGGTCCCATCATATACGAGTAATGCTTCGAAGACACCTGTGATCAAAAACTAGTAGCCTACGAATATCCTCTACTCTTATTGGCCATGTTTTACTGCTATAAAGTAGGACGGAACGAACTGCTGCACAGTAAACCCTTCCTTTGGTTGCTAGACGAATATCTCGCTTACGCCATAAATGACGCGAGTTGGTGAAAGCTAGTCGAGCCTTCTGTAACCGTGCTGAGATTTCGTCACACACCAGACCGTTGCTGCTATCTTGACGTGGTGGTCGGGCTTGCCTATCGTGATGATCCAATCGGGCTATGCTGGCTGGAACAATCGTTCCTCAAGGTCCTACTATGCCAGACAGGTCGGTTGAAGAGCGGTGAGACTAAAAGCAGCAATCTCAAGGTCCGAAGGCGAAGTCGTACTGCCGACTGTACAGAGGTGTGACGGCAGTAAGGTGTTTCTTTCAGACAACCAGCATGACAGCGATGCTGCCTTCCCACAAGGAGGGGTGGGGTTAGAAAAGGTCGAACGTAAAAATGCACACCTCGCCTTATCCCACGGATTTCCGTCTCCGGCGGTAAGGTCCTTTGAAGAACGGAGCTAACACGTCAAAAATCCCCCACAAAAAGGCCGTGCGTGACCGGCCTCAAGCAGTTGTCCCTTGGACACTGCGGTCACGCTCCCAGGTCGTTCAGATCAACACTAATCCAACTTCTTTTACACGTCCCTCAAGAAATACCCTTCCACGGTGTGGGCAGCCGGGAAGTGATACTAACCCTCATACTCATAACTGCACACGAGACCAAGTTGGTCACTTTCAAATCCTTCCTACTCCTAATAACTCTCTTATCTCCACGACTAACACTTCCCACGTCCTTTTATCACCTCGCACCGCTAGGGCAAACGATTCGAGTACACGGAACGTTATTCCTGGTCTTCCGAAACCACGCTCTAAACTACATGTATCCTGAAGTAACATTTTGCACTTCAAGGGAGAGAATCGCATTCCGAACATGCCTGCATAGTTGCTTATAGTGGTCAGAAGACTCTGCATGTTGCTAGCGTCCTCACCAAATAGAACTATGTCATCGGCGTATTCTAAGTCAACAAGTGGGTCTCCCAGTAAAAGTTCAACTCCTGAAGATTTCGATGATGAAAGTGTTATCTCTAAAAGCATGTTAACGACAAAGTTAAACAAGAATGGAGAGAGTGGACAGCCCTGACGAACACCACTTGAGGTAACCAATTCCGATGACAGTTCGCCATAGGCTCTAACTCGACCAGTTGTGTTCGAGCAGAGAGCCTTTATAAGGTTTATGTACTTCTTTGGTACTCCTTTCAGTGACAAACACTGCCAAAGAACCTCACGATCAACAGAGTCAAATGCCGCATTAAGGGCGAGAAATACTACTATTGTGAAGCCTTTGGATGTGTATCTATGTTCTAGGACCTGACGTAGAGTGAATATCTGCCTTTTCCATCTCTTTCGTTGCCCACCACTGCTCGCGATAGTTCAGGAGACTTTTGATTAACCTAGATCTGATTTGCTTACGCCCTTCGTCGTGTTCGGAGCCTGATGGGATGAGTTTACAAGAATCCATCAATGTAATAGGCTTAGAAGAAATCCATACGGGGTACCTAGCCTGTCGTATGCCCTGATGGTGTTTTCGTGACTTTCAGGTTGCCTGATCTGTCAAGGGCGATGGGACAGTGTATGACAGTATTGTTGTGTGCTAGGTTCAAAAAGAATTGTTTCCTATATGTATGCAAGTCCGCCCCGTTATTGTTATTGTTCCTATTTAAAAAACATAGGGTGCATCTCGTCGGCTCTCCGTTTTGGTGAGGTGAGGTCAAGTGAATGACCACATTAGGATCCTGTATGCCTGTTTCGGAGACACAGTATACATCAATGGTACGAGACTCAACGGTTTTAGCTACGGTTGCCTGTCGGCCGATTTGACATAGGGTACATACGTTGAAGGCTTCAATGTGTACTTTGGAGAGAGGTTTCAGTAGACTTAGGGGTGTTTAGCCCACCAGAATCGTTGACGACGGAGACACTTGAGGAAGCCGAAAGAGGAAGTTTATTGTTGGAAGTCGAGGTAGGAGGAATAATAAGAATTGAAGGAGATTGATTATGAATATAGTGATCTTGAGTCATGATAAAGGTATGAGGGTGGTTATCACTTCCCGGTTGCCCACACCGTGGAAGGGTTCTTCGAGAGGTACCCGAAAAAAAATTGGATTAGAAGTGATCTTGGTGACCTGAGAGCGTGACTTCAGTGCCCAAGGGACAACTGCTTGAGGCTGGTCACACAGTACCTTTTCAAAAGCAATTTTTGTGTTAGCTCCGTACTTGCTGAGACCTTAATACCGGAGACGGACATCCGTGAGATAAGGCGGGGTGCGCATTTTTAGGGTCGACCTTTTCTTACCTCACCCCTCCTTGTGGGAAGGCAGCATCACTGTCATGCTGGTTGTCTGAAAGAAACACATTACTGCTGTCACACCTCTGTACAGTTAGCAGTACGACTTCGCCTTCGGTCCTTGAGATTGCTGCTTTTAGTCTCACCGCTCTTCAACCGACCTGTCTGGCATAGTAGGACCTTGAGGAACGATTGTTCCAGCCAGTATAGCTCGATTGGTTCATCACGATAGGCAAGCCCGACCACCACGTTAAGGTAGCAGCAACGGTCGGACCTTCAGATGCTGTTTTTACTCTTACCGTTCTCCAAATGACCTGCCTCGCATAGTAGAGCCTGGAGGAACAAGTGATGCAGTTAACAGAGATCAGCTGAATTGTTAAGATACGCAAGTTCCACCAACTAGTCAAGGTAGAAGATACAGAGGTTGTCTGACCAATTGTAATTCAAAAACCGCCCAAACTAACACTGGTAAGCAAAAATCAATATGACAATTACAAGAGACCGATTATAGTGTTAGCATGAATTATTGGCATAAAAAATTCAAAAATTTCCCTAAACGACACAATTACTACTTGGTTGGAAGTCTTATTGAAAAACAAAGTGCTTACACGTTCGTAAATACTGGATGCCTTGAATTTCGGGTCGGTATCCGATAAACGTTGTAATGTGTGACTCAGGTCATAGGTACTCGAATAGTAGAAGCCTTCTGACGATAGAATACTATTAAGCATATGACAATACACCGATTCATCTTGATTCTACCAGCCAGAAAACTAAATTTAAGTTCGCTTACCTGGATATCTGTCAAATGAAGTAAAGACCTTGCAAATGGTAATATGACGCTCTTGGTTATTTTGAAAATAGTGTTTCCGAATATCTCACCAACTCGCTCACGCTCTTTAATCACTATCAAATAAAACCCTATTTTGGACGGATATGAAGAAACACCTGAAACTTACCCGACACTAGACGTACAAGCCCCCATATTCCATAGATTGTGTGCTTTTTGGCTACGATTGGGATGACCGGCTCCTCAACTACGAAAATATGTTTTAGTATGGAGAAACTAACATTCAACTTTAAGTTCTTGTGACACTCTGTCAATTATAATGAAGGCTTTCGACCCTAATGCATTTATAAAGTAGTGATCTGGCGTTATGAATCTAAAAGCTAATCTATATCAGAAAAGTTATTTACAGAGTATATTCATCATAAACCATTCGCAAACGTAACGTTTAGCCTTTGCTAGGTTTGTATCTAACCTACAAATAAATTGTATTTTGGGAAGAGTAAGAAGCAAGGTGTGAGTCCGGGAGAGGTAAACATAAGCAAAACGAGTAAACAACCCATCAGGTATATGCTATTCACTTGCATTCAATGATAAACGCAATCGGTGAAAATTAGCAACAACGAAAAATAAAGAATGGAAACAAACAACTCCCGTTTGTAATTTTGACAAACTACTTATCGATCACTCAGAATTAAGCGGAAACTATCATTTTTATCATCTTTGTAAACAGTGGTGGATGGCTCGTTTCGTTTCGTTTTTTTTGCTAGCCTTTTAGTGTTGCTGAAGTACTGAATCCTTAAGTGTGCCGATCTCCAGATTCCGCACCTTGTGTGACACTAGATGTCACCATAAATTTTTCTCACGTTAATTGTGTTTTCTCGGCTTTTTGCTGCTACTACTACTACTACTACTACTCACGGTCGCTGTATTCTTTCTAGCATGCTTACGTCTGGTATATCTCCTCTCAATTATGAGCGATGTAAAACTACGGCAACGATCCAGTGGTATTGTTCCTTAAGGAGGTTGCTGAGCACGTGAAGGTCAAACCGTCGTAACATGATTGGTGCGTCACCTCAACAATTAGTATGTTTTGCATATGCGACAGTCAGTTGAAAATCGCGCTAAATCTCTATTTGCATTCCGTTTACTTGGCTTGAATGGGCGTTTGAATAGGCGTCAGATATATGTAATCTCCCATCTGCACGTCGTCATATCGTGTCAACTGAAACTTTTAGGTGAATATTTATTGCAATAATTGTCCGTATTACAAGTTTCATTACTATTTGCTTCAGTCTTACGATTTCAAAAGAGAATTCAATAGCGCTAATCTTAAACCATTTTTACAGCCTTGACGATTGTAAATATACTGGACATTGTCACATCGTGTAGACCACCTCATGCGATGGTCAGAAGTGATAATCCTCAATGAAATTACTGTTGAAAAGTGGTCAAGGCTCTCATCTTACTGAAAATACCACCAGTATTGTACTTTGATAACTCTTTACCAGTGACACTGTAGCTGTAAATAATTCCCCAAAATCAATAGCTCTTTAAGTGTTCGACATTGGATGCTGACCACGTTGTTTAAGTGGACTTGTTTAGCTGAAGGCTTTCGGTAATGCATCCGCACCAGATCACGTTTCAACTCGGCGTGGGACACTGCTCCTACGTTCATTAGCCAGCTTATAGTAAAGGTTCCTCGATATATTGGTAACGAATGAAGTATATCTTTCCTACCTCTTCTCATCTGACTTCTGATTTCCTCTGGCCGGGAACGATCGATTATAGAAGATACTACTGGTTGCTAGTTTTAAAACTAGAATATCCGTTGTATCTTTCAACACCTATGATCGAATCGCGCCCACCCAGTTTAGATCAGAAGTCAGAAGCGAGGAGGTTGGAAGATATATTTGGTGGGTTATCAATATATTGAGAAGTGACTGATCTAATCTGGCTAATGATCGTAAGAGATGCTTTCCACGTTGTTCTGTAACGTGATCTGGTATGGATGAATGACCAGACGCTTTCAGCTAAACGAGTACACTAAAACTAATGTGGTCAGCACCCAATGTCAAACACTTACAGATTTATTGATTTTGGGGAATTGTTTGCAGATACATTACGATTGGTAGCAAACTTTGAGTGCACCTGAACGACCACTATTGATCATGGATGTCAGTAAGAATCAGAACTTGACTGTTGTCTGTCTACACTATCAGGAATAACACGATTTCGAACGACCACCTACCATTGAACAGGTTGTTAGAACACACTCATCGACAGCTGAAAGCTTCAATCCCAGCCGCAAACGTTTCGTGGTGGACCGACGTTTTTCCACTAGTGTTACTCGGTATTCACAAGGAAGCGAAAGATGACATTGGATACACTGCAGCCCAACTCGTTTATGGATCGACACTCCAACATCCAGAAGAGTTCACGGATCCCTCATCTTCATAAGTGGGTTCCGTGTGCTTCACCTTACTTACAACTATTGGTTAGTTTATATTGATCACTTCATGATATATCGACATTCTATCAGATATATCTTCGAAACTCTTCACTACCGATTTGACTGTGTCAGTATATTTCGATTGAAATTGTGTTATTGTTTAAGGCGTTGTCAGACTCCGAATGCTTGTGGCAGGTTTGAACCCAATACTCACGTCGTGATAAACTTTGGTTTATACAAATAACAGTTTACGTATTTTGTTTTTGTTGTCGTATAACGGAAACCTACCATACATGTTGCTTTTTTATTCCATTATTATTAATATGAACGGAAAACACTTGTATTGTCCATACTTACAGAGCTAACCACGAAAAGAATACTGTGTTCCAATGTGCTTTGCTAGGACACTTTGGTTTAGTAGTCTGTTCTTTCATTGTTTCTTTCCTGTCCGAGTAACTTACAGTCAGCGTACATTATATGGATGTGTTTCGTGAACGAAAACACCGACGCCACACTCGCTCGGACTACCAACCTACCTAATCCTGTATCACGTTCATAACCAATAGACCACACTGGCCCGTAGTGGATGTGACTGCAGTATTTCTTACACTGGTTAATTATCGACGATACTCATGAATAATAGAAACTGAACACCTGCAAGGTGCAAACAAACCCGTTCCTTGGGTGATTTCAAGAGATATAGTCTCATTATAAAATGCATATCTACATCAAGCCCATTAAATTGTTAATCTGTAAGACTCCAATCATGTAGCTGACTATAAAAAGCCCATTCGATTTTCAGACACTTAGTAATTTCTTTCCTTAGGCGTTTATTTTACTTATACAGGTCAGGGAGTACTCTATATACTCGCGGCTACCAACCGGGTTATAAAAGGCGGTCATTACATACTCAGTGTAAAGACCCAGATGCCAATATTCGGCTTCAACACAGAACTTACTTACTTACTTACTTACGCCTGTTACTCCCAATGGAGCATAGGCCGCCGACCAGCATTCTCCAACCCACTCTGTCCTGGGCCTTCTTTTCTAGTTCTTTTCAGTTCTTGTTCATTCTTCTCATGTCTGTCTCTATTTCTCGGCGTAATGTGTTCTTTGGTCTTCCTCTTCTCCTTCGACCTTCAGGATTCCATGTGAGGGCTTGTCTTGTGACACAATTGGGTGATTTCCTCAAAGTGTGCCCAATCCACTTCCAGCGCTTCTTCCTGATTTCTTCCTCCGCTGGAATCTGGTTTGTTCTCTCCCACAGTAACTTGTTGCTGATAGTGTCTGGCCATCGGATCCGAAGTATCTTGCGTAGACAGCTGTTAATAAACACTTGTATCTTCTGGATAATGGCTTTCGTAGTTCTCCACGTCTCTGCCCCATACAGAAGAACTGTCTTGACATTTGTATTGAAAATTCTAACCTTGGTGTTGGTTGACAATTGTTTTGAGCTCCAGATGTTTTTCAGCTGTAGGTATGCTGCTCTTGCTTTGCCGATCCTCGCCCTCACATCTGCATCTGATCCACCGTGTTCATCAATGATGCTGCCCAGATATGTAAAGATTTCCACATCCTCCAAAGCTTCTCCGTCAAGTGTAATTGGATTGGTGCATATTGTATTGTATCGGAGAGTCTTGCTTTTCCCTTTGTTTATATTGAGACCTACTGCTGCTGAGGCTGCTGCTACACTGGTCGTTTTCTCCTGCATTTGTTGTTGCGTTTGTGATAGAAGAGCCAGATCATCCGCGAAGTCTAAATCGTCAAGCTGCATCCTGCCTGTCCACTGTATCCCGTGCATTCCTCCAGATGTTGACGTCTTCATAATCCAGTCGATCACCAGGAGAAAGAGAAAGGGTGAGAGTAGGCAACCTTGCCTAACACTGGTCTTTACCTCGAACGAGTCGGTGAGTTGTCCTCCGTGGACGATTTGGCAGTTTAGTCCATCATAGGAGTTCCGTATGATATTTACTATCTTCTCAGGCACACCGTAGTGTCGAAGAAGCTTCCATAGTGTCGTCCTGTCCACGCTATCAAATGCCTTCTCGTAGTCGATGAAGTTGATGTACAGTGATGAATTCCATTCGATTGATTGTTCCACAATGATACGTAGAGTTGCGATTTGATCTGTGCACGATCTATCCTTACGAAATCCAGCTTGTTGATCTCGAAGTTGAGCGTCCACGGAATCCTTCATCCTGTTTAACAATACTCTGTTGAAGACTTTTCCTGGTATTGAGAGGAGAGTGATGCCTCTGTAGTTGTCGCACTTGCTCAGATCGCCTTTCTTTGGTATCTTGATGAGAAGTCCTTCTTTCCAGTCTGTTGGTACATGTTCTTCGTCCCAAATCTTACCGAAGAGGATGTGGAGTATCTTGGCAGTTGCTGTTACATTTGCTTTCCGTGCCTCTGCCGGGATGTTGTCTGGTCCCGCTGCTTTGCCACTCTTGATTTGTCTAATGGCCATGCTGATCTCTTCAATTGTTGGTGGGCCAATATCGATTGGGAGGTCTGTGGGTGCTGCTTCGATGTTGGGTGGGTTCAGTGGAGCCGGTCGATTCAAGAGTTCCTTGAAGTGTTCTACCCACCTGTTTCGTTGTTCTTCAATATCGTTGATTACTTTGCCTTCCTTGTTTTTCACTGGTCTTTCTGGTTGACGGTAATTTCCAGCAAGTTTCTTTGTTGTATCATACAGTTTTCTCATGTTTCCCTCTCTCGCAGCCTTTTCCGCTGTCATCGCTAAATCTTCCACATATTTACGTCGGTCGGTCCTGATGCTCCTCTTCACTTGCTTGTTTGCCTCTGTGTATTCGGCTTGTGCCTTGGCTTTTTCTGCTCTTGTTCGGCTGATATTGATTGCTACCTTCTTGTTCCTCCTTGCTTCAATTTTATCCAGTGTACCAACAGTGATCCATTCCTTGTGATGGTGCTTCTTTTGGCCCAGAACCTCCTGACATGTTGAAACGATTGCCTCCTTGATACCTTTCCAGCTGCTCTCTATGGTGGTTCCCTCTCCATTGAGTAGGTCATGAAAGGCCTGGAACCTGTTGCTGAGGGCTATGTTAAATTCGTTGAGTTTGTCAACATCTCGAAGAAAGGCCGTGTTAAACTTTTGTGATGTTGTCCGCGCCATTGTCCAGTGCTTCTTGAGTTTTAGTTTCATCTTGGCGACCAGCAAATGATGATGGGATGCTATATCAGCTCCTCTTCTGGTTCTCACATCCTCCATCGTCCTCCTGAACTTTTTGTTGATGCAGACATGGTCGATTTGATTTTGTGTAGTGTGATCCGGTGAAATCCAAGTGGCTTTGTGTATGTTTTTGTGTGGGAATATGGTGCCACCTATGACCAGTTTATTGAAGGCACATAGGTTTGCAAATCTCTCACCGTTTTCGTTCCTTCCTCCCAGTCCATATTGTCCCATGACGTCTTCGTATCCAGTGTTGTCCTTTCCAACCTTGGCATTGAAATCTCCCATTAGAATGGTCAGGTCCTTGGTTGGGCACTTCTCGAAGATTGACTGCAGCCTATCGTAGAATTGGTTTTTAGCGTCTTCATCGTAGTCGTTGGTCGGCGCATAGCATTGGATGATGTTCATTGTAATGCCCTCTCTCTTTGTTCTGAAGGAGGCTTTGATGATCCTCGGTCCATGAGATTCCCATCCTATAAGTGCATTTTGTGCTTTTCTAGACAGCATCAGTGCCACTCCTTGTGTATGTGGGGCATTTTCTTCTTCATGACCGGAGTATAACAGAAGTTCCCCTGAAGACAGTCGTTGTTGTCCAACCTGCGTCCAATGTGTTTCACTGATTCCAAGCACTTCCAGGTTGTATTTCCTCATTTCCGCAGAAATTTGGAAGACTCTGCCGGTCTCCCACATTGTCCG